CTTCTTTGCCTATTTTCTTTTTGGGGGCCTTCTCAGATATCCCAATTTATTTTCTTGCCATGAGCGTGCATATATTTTAAAAGTTGACACCCCACGGTATTGTATATGGAGTGTTTTGATGCCTTTGATGCAATCATTTTAGTCAAAAAAATTGGAGAAAATGTGTGGTGCTAATTTTTCAATTTTCATTTTTACACACACGTTGCTTTTTGACTGTGATTTAGCAGAGCCTGTTGTTGGTTATTGCAAGAAAACACTCCAGGTTGTTTTCTGCAAGGCCTCCTTAGTACATCCATGCTCCCCATGCATAGGTTTGCCAGGAATTTGGGAAGGTCCAGTTACAATTGTATTACTTGTAATTTGAGTTGAAATTGAGAGTATTTCTTCTGATAGGCCTATCTTTAGCTTGGGGCTTATCACATACCCCAATTTTATTTATTGCCATGAAAGTGTATATATTTGAAATGCAGACACCCCGAGTTATTGTAAGTGTGTGCTGGTAATTGTTCAATTTTCATTTTTACACACACATTGCTTTTTGACTGTGATTTAGGAGAGCCTGTTGTTGGTTATTGCAAGAAAACACTCCAGGCCTCCTTAGTACACCTATTCCCCCCATGCATAGGGTAAATGTAACAACAAAAAAACACAAAAAAAACCTGAATGGCAAATGTTAAAAAAAAATTAAAAAATGGATCAGTGTGTGGCATCGTTTGAAGCAGTCCCCAATGCAGAGTCCAGGCTGTCAAGGGCAATCAGGACAGTGATACACAGTATCTTTTCTCTTCCCCCTCTTAAAACAGACTATGCATCTTTCTGGGGGATTTTGCTTTGCCGCAGTAGGGGGAGTTTTAAAAATAAAATGTGTAGCCCCAACTCTGCTTTCTCCTATCACTGCCTGGGGACCAGGCGCATCGTTGTACAAAATCCCCGAAATGATCTGTTATAGGCCTTGATGCACACTGGCTTCCTCGTGCTCTCAACTCTGCCACGTACAGAGACCTCCACAGCCTTCTCAGTGTGGATGGTGGTAAGAAGGTACACATCCTTCTTGTTTCTGTACTTAACTGCCAACAGCTCCTCTTGGCGCAGAGCTGAGGTCTCCCCCCTTCGTAGCCGGGTGAGTGCAAGTTGTCCTGGGAAACTTGCGCTGTTCTTTTTGATTGTACTGCAAGCTACTGTATGAAAACAATACAGCAGCTTGAACAAAGGGACACTTGTATAAAAACTGTCAGTATACAAGTGGTACCCTTTGTTCATCAGGGGGAATATCAGGTCCCAGACAATCTTGCCACTGGTTCCCATATGTTCTGGGCAACCTGGAGGGTCAAGGTGGCTATCCTTTCCCTCGTACACCCGGAAGGCCTGTATGTATGTGTGTGTGTGTGTGTGTGTGTGTATCTGTATGTCTGTATCTGCATGTGTGTTAGGTTGTGTATCTGTGTCAGTCTGTGTGACTGTATCTGTGTAAGGACATGAAGGGGTGCTGCCCTTCGACAGCACTGTCCCTTTAAATGTGGGAACCAACTTAGCAGAGAAATAATGCAAGGACACGATGAATGGAGCAATCAAGAAAATATGTATTAAAGAAAGCCAAAGGATATAATATACAAAAACAAGGACCATAAGGACATCGGAACAGGAACACAGGATCAGGATACACAGGATACAAGACACAGGAGCAAGGAGTCAGAATCACGGGAACCAGGAAACAGCAGGTACCAGATAAAGGATGAAGGATAATGATCTGACAGGGAGTAAGGGGAGAAACCAGAATAGATAGGTGCTAAACAAGGGCCAGGTGAAGTGCTTAACGAAAAGAAATGAGAAACAGTGCCAAACAGAAACAGTGGTGAATGTGAGTACTGCACGAGGGCAGATTAACTAAGGAGTGTCGTGACAATCTGTACATGTGTGATTATGTGTCTATGTGTCTGTATATCTGTATGTGTGTCAGTGTTCATATCTGTGTATCTGTATGTGTTTCAGTGTGTGTTTGTCTGTGTGTATATGGATATGTGCATATTCAAACGCCAACACTACACACACCTAAATTCACACTTTAACACTACATACAAACACACTCTTTCATTTAAACATAAACACTACATACAAACAAACCCCTACATTCACAAAAACATACTCCTTAAAAAACATGCTTACATTTAAATACACAAACACTGCTCAGTGCTAAATACAACCCTGCAAACATTGGAAAATGGTAGAGACCCAGCTGTCACACCATTGTTAGATCTACCTTTTACTTATCTTTGTGATAGGTGGGCCCAAATAAATTATTGCACCTCTCTACTTTAGTTCCCCCACTGCGTACTGGTGAAAGGCATGATTGCAAGCCAGAGAGTGGCAAGGAGAGCAGGGTCCAGGGTTCCCAATCAAATGCTTGCCCAGGGTCCAACCACTATTGAAGACACCCCTGCTCTGAAAACTTATGCTGCATGACAGCATGCATGTGTAACTCCACAAGAAAGTGGCAATCTTTTTGGGCTCCTACTACTATACAAAACTATCATACTATCACAATTTATATTTGGCTCCTTGTTTGAAATAGGTTTATGTGAGTGACTAAATTTATTATAGTTTTAGGACATTTACCAGATGGTGGTTTAGTGTGCACATACTTCCACTTAAGGTCAATTGATATGTAACCCTTGCAGCATCTGGGTCCTTTACATATCCACGGCATAAATACATGGTTCATGCTAAGTTGATATGGACCTACTACGTTGACATCCTGCTTCGTCCATTAACCTCTAATGTTTCAACATCTCGTCTTCTGATATATCTTTTACATTTTTACATACTTACATTCCCTACAATATGCATACAATATACCTTGTCTTAGATTACACCTTTACATCCATATTTGCAACCCAAGAGATATCCTTTGGGAAGTCTGAGAGGTAATTTTCATATAAGCCCAAGCATCTATAACATGCTTCCTCCCATCCTGTTATACAGGAGGAGGTGGAGCAACAATCTTCAATGACACACACCTTGTAGGTGATCTCTGTTCCTACCACAAATTTTGTGCGGCTTGAAGGGAATTCACATGCCATATTTAATAATAATTCCCTCCTCTCCTGGGTAAGGGGTGCTTAGGAAGATGTCTCCTTCACAATTTAAGTAAACTATTGGCTACATGTTGGAGACTCTATCCCAGCATTCCCTTTAAATCACGGTGTTTGGTCCCTTGCTAAGCACCAATATGCACGTCTGTCTCTATATGTCTCACACATGACCTTACACTTACTGTGCATTATGTGCTTTTCACAAATTGTATTTTCTCTGTATCCTGTCCTTTTAGTTAGATTTCCAGGGAGAGAGGGCTGGTAGGTTTGCTGTCAGTTTTCAAAAACTCGCAGCTGACGCATTTTTTCTCTGTCGCTTCCTACCTTGGATCTTTATATCTGGATATATATTTGGATTGATATACTTACCTACTTAGGGGTCCTATACACTGCTGTTTCTTGAGGTTTACAGTACACTATTTTACTGTTCCAAAATAGAAATGTAAACCCTTTATTTAGTGGTTTTTTTCCTGCATGTATACCAGTGGGCCAGTGAGACTACTTTGGTATCATACATCATACATTGTACATGTCTACATTCCCCCGAACACCCTCCCTACATGTACCTATCTTTCTCTTAACATGTGTTTTTTAAATCTCTCTTTTTCCTTGATTAAGGGTGGATCAATATGCAATTTGGGATTTAAGCCTGAGGGTGCTCCACCTTGTTTTGGCGACTTTGCTCTTTAGACACACTACTACTTTGTTACTTGCAATCTTTGGACATGATAATAGATTTTATGTCACACTCTAAACAGTACCACCTATTTTCTTTTCTTACTTTAGAATGTAGGGATATTGTTATTACCAGGTTGGACTATTCCCCTTTCTGGGAATTAGCCCATATTTTCTTTTCTTTTTAACTGATATGTCACCTGCAAATGTTAAAAGTTACTGTGCTTTTTTAAAAAAAAACTTTTAATAGTGATTTCATTGCAATAAATGTTATGCTGGAGGTTTTTATGTCTTTAATACATTACCTATAAAGCTCAACCAGCTGTCTTCTCTTTTTGACTGTCACCCGGGCAGAGTTTTAGAGGTAGTTTATTAGTTATAATTATATCTTGACACTATATTTCTAAACTGTAGTTTTTTTGGGAGTGGTATAGTTCTATATGGTGTATTATTTAAAAAACAAACTTGTTTATGGTTTGAGTAACCATTTAAAAACATTTGCTTGTCAGTAAATTGTATTCTGAATTTGCTGAAGAAGAACAAATCGTAAACATGAAATAGTCTCAGAAAATGTTCTTGTTCATACATATTCTTTAATGTTGGAGTCACAATGCCATTTGAACGGATGCAACTCTGACATCGGTAGAAATGACTTGCTATCCATTTAAACTATAAACACAACACACAGTGTAAAAACGTCCCCAACAAAAAGCAGATCTTATCAATGGATAAATAAATACCTTCAAAACATTTAGTCAAGGGTAAGGAACAAGGCTCAGCAGATTGTACAATTCAAGAGGGAATACGTTTAAAACAAAGCCTGCCAAACACGACCCACTCTGAGTTAAAGAAGCCCAACTCTCACAAAGGAAAGCGTAAAAAAATCTATTTATTGGAAAATTGATTAAATGCAGAATCGTACAGCAGCAAAGACAACTGTAAGAAAAGCAAACATTGGACGTTGAAAATGCATTTTATCCTACGTGCCAACCTGTGCCCATTGAATTCAACACTAGTAGATCCAAATACACATTTTCTTTTAGTTCCACACCAGACAATTGTTGTAATTCTTGTCATAATTGTTGCATATCCCTCATTTTTAAGGTCTATCGTTAATTACTTGGATCACACGCGAAGCTTGTCAGTTGTTTAACTCATGGTGTGTTGCTGAGTTTGTACTATTAGACTTGAAACAAATGTCTCTTTTTAGCAATGTGTAATGAAACTAATGCAGACCTGGGATTTGCTGTGGATTTTCCAGCAATACTTTGATTATGATAGATTTATAGTCAGTGCATGGACCTCACGTGGCAAGAATGACTGGTACCAGAATGCATTGTGCCACAAGATGAGTAATGTCTGCATTTCAGGACACATGCAACTTGGCGTGACTTTATAGGATACTGGAGCACACTAGTATCAATGATAAAACGAATAGGATGCATTTTATGCTTTCCAAGACCTTCTTCAAAAGCCTTACCAAAACTTTGTATTGAATCATTTGTAGTATCTAATGTCCTACTGTGCATCCACGTTAGTGTTATCCCCGGGAATTCAAACCATTCTCTGCATAGCAACTGTGTTCTTTTACCTTTTATCTGTTTGTCTTTTCCATGGTTTACTAGGATAAAACAGGCATCATTGACTTTGACAGTCTGTCTGTTGTAGTCTACAGATTGAACATCACGTGAAAATGTTGGAGGATTGCCTTGAACCAATAATGGATTAAAGGTCTTTTCTGATGTCAAATTGTATGCCTAGATTTAATCTACTATACCTATATTGTTTTCTGACTTTTGTGTGGGGTTCCACAAAGTTCATGTAATCATTTAAGCAAACACTTAATAGCATTTTATAATCAGAATCTGTTTTGGGGACAATATCCCTGTAATATTCACAGTATTATTCACTAAAGTGAGAATTGAAAAGTGAGTTTATTATTTAAGGCAGCTTTGCTTGCAGGTCACCTACTTTGGCTTTGCATTTAAAATTCTATTTAACTTCCTGACAATTAACACTTCAGTGAAAAGCCCTGTCAATCACACATTTGCTCTCTTGTTGTAGTGATATTTTTGTAGTAATCCTTCTGTGTATGACACCAGTTTGCATTTATAGCACCCTGTTTTTTGTTTGTTTTTCAAAGTGTCTTGCCTGATCTATCTATGAATGAAAAAGACAAAGTCGAAAATAAAGATAGAATGCAGGTAGGACATTCCAAATGAAAATGATTGTTACATTCATGAACAGTAATACCTCACATCCCATAGAACACCATTAAAAAGAATGCCAGGGAACACTGGAATAAAGAATAGGGGATGGATGTCTCTGGGGAGTATCTTTCTAAACAGTAATACGTGGGTACATTATTATTATTATTATTATTATTATTGTTATAATTATTATTGGTATTTATAAAGCACCAACAAATTCCATAGTGCTTTACAATATTTCAAGAGGGGGAGATTTAACAATAAATGAGACAATTACAAAAAATACAGGAACAATATGATGAAGAGGACCCTGCTCAAACCATCTTACAGTCTAGAGGAGGTGGGGTATAAAACACAATGCATGAATTGTTAACACTAGCACTTGAATTCCACCCATAATGTCTGGTTATCAATATAAAATATATGCTGTCTGTAACTATCTAGATTGAATTAATATAGTAGTCTAACATGCAATCACCCTGCCACCTTGCAGAATAAATCTACTGGATGTAGAAGGAACACTAAGCCATATGTATAAAGAACAATTGTAGACTATGTCCTAGTCTGGACCTTGAGAGACATGATACATTTACCAGGAATGTTACATTTTGTCTCCCAAGTGACAAGTTCCATATTAGCTGGCAACCCTAAAATGTATACATATGGGACCCATAATATAGTGTTGACATGCAGCTAGCCTGTATGCTGGACAATAGACTAGTATGCCGGTTATTAGCAATACCCTAGACCTCGGTAGGTCTACTGCAGAAGGAGGCATGAACATAGCACTAATACTCATCAGTAAACAGAAAGGGGTGCATTGACTTAATAATAGAATGAGCAATGCACACTGAGTCGGTGCTGGGAATGAAATTACAGGTTTTACAGATACCAACTTGTTTATGTGTCATCATTAACATTTTTTACATACATAATTATTTTCACTATATAAAGTAGGAAATAGTAATATACAAGATAGAGAAATAAGAAATACATATATAAGGACATCCGGTATGAGATATGATGATAAAAGGAGTACAAATTATGTTCGAAAACACTGCTTTATTGACCTAAAATAACAAATATTATTTGAAAATGATATGTAAAATATAAATACTGTTTTAAATAAAAGTCTATTGTTCCTTGTTTACTGCTGCAGAATGTTTGGTGCATAAACTAAAGTCTATATCGCCGCAAAAAAATAAAAAATAAAGTTATTTATATAATTGTCATTGTTGTTTCAAATATCAGCGAGGACATGGCTGTGTGTAATTTACAATAATCGAAAATGTGTTCTGATGGTGTCTGAATAGCTTGGAAATTAGCAAAGAACAGTCAGAAAGACAGCAAACGAACTATTGCGAAAAATACAGTCTACGATGTCGGTCTATGATGGTGTCTTGTCCCTTTCTGTCCAGTAGATGGCGCTGTTGTTCTATCTCCCTTCTGAATCCAGCAGACGCAAGTGGTGTGTCTTTTTTAATTCTTTGTCCGGCAGAGGGCACTGCTGCGAGCTCGCTGTTAGAGCGAATGACGTCAGCCCCGATACACACTGCTAGTCTGACACTCTTCTCCACTCTGCAACTTTCCCGTGCTGGAGCAGGCAGGATTAGAGAGGGGAGAGGAGTAGCCTGCCACAGAGGGGGGAGCCGAACAGGCTGGGCTACAGGGGCCAAAACACCAAACTGACAGAAAAAGGGGGAGAGGGGCACAATGTACCCCCAACTGGCACTGTTGCTCCTGGTCGCCCCCCTGTGCTTCCCCCTGGAAACTGAGACTCCTACAGGTCAGTCACTGGTTGCTTTTGTTCCTCCTCCTCTTCACCCCTCCTTCCCCATATCACTTACTGTTCCTCTCTCCCTCCTCTGCTCACACCCATTCCTTTACAACACTTGTTTGCTACTTCTTCTTCTCCTTCTCCCCTCTTTTCACCTGCCTCCCTCCTTCCCCATGTCTACCTGTACTATGTGCTCCCCCTTGGTAGCTAATTCTCCTGGCATTCAGTCTTGCCCATTCTCTCTCCCCATTGTCTGCAGTACACTCTCTCACCTCTCCATCATTCCCTTTCATTACCTTGTCGCAGTTCACTCCTTTCTTCCTGTAACTTGGCCTGCTAGCCCTTTAATGTTTTCTGACTTGTCCCCTTCTCTCTACAAACCCTGCCATTACTAACTATCCTTTCTGTGCTACTTCTACTTTCCAGTTTCCTCGTACTTTCATGTCCTTCCCCTTCTCCTCTTTCTCCAATTTAATCTAGTATTGGGAAATATCAAACTACGTATTCCATCCCCCCGTCCCCCTCTCCTTACACACATACACTATACTTTACAATGTACTTCCCTGGCTATTCTATTTAACTCCCATCTCCTCCTACCCCTATTTGCCCCTAACAATAAATACTCCTCCTATATTCCTCCCTCTTTTTCCTCCTTTACCCAATTCCCCCTCCCACTTTTTCTCCAATGCCCTCTCTATTTTATACTCACCTCTCTCATTATTTAGCTAATATCTGTTTGGATTATTTCACGTCGTTTTTTTTTTTTCGTTTTCTTTACGCTTCAATTGAATTAATCTGCTATGTTTAGCATTTTCTTTAATTAGTCCTCTGTGTGGGTCAACAACATTTAAATTATATAATGGGTTCTGCATTATATGCTTTCCCCCATATCTCTAAAATCAGGGTCCATTTCAATCCTTTTGTATTCCTCTTAATCCCTTATTCCCCCCTTTCTCAGTTTATTGTTTATTCCCCATCTGTAATCAGCCTCATCTTCTCTACACCCACTTCTTGTCTATCTCATGGACCCTCTAACACCAGATTAACCTATTCCACTGCCAAACCTCTCCTTCCTTAGTCACAGGACCATGTGCCTGTTTATTGTCATCACTAGTTTTTCTAACATCTTCAATTATATAACACCACCTCTCACTTTTTGTAAACCGTCTTCCAAAATATATTCAGACCTTTCTTTTCATTGCCTTTTCCTCCAGACCTTCTATTTCACGATTTACACTCCTAGTTCCCTTTTACCCATCCTTAATATTATATTTCTATTATCTCTCCTACCACCCATTTCTTACAAATCTCAGCCTCTCCTCCCCAATGTCTTCATTTCCCCCCAAACTAAACTAATAATCTACGCCCCCATCATATATTTATCAACAGTCTCTCATGCTTATTATCATTAATCCCCATTTATTTTATTTTCCTACTTGTGGACCTTTCTCTTCTACACCTCCATCTTCTTTATCCCTGACACACTATATCTTCTTTGTAAGATGTTTTTCTAAACCATACATGTTCAGACTCATCATATACATCTTCTACTAGTTAACCCATCTACAACTGTCCTCCCCTACAATGTCCACCATTTAACCCCCCTCCAAATGTTCTGCCTTACTTTCAACCCTGCTTTGTCCTTTCATGTGTTCTCATCCTTTCTCCCATACACTATATTCATACTTCACCTTCATTTATGTCTTCAATACATCCTCCACTTATTGCTCTCTCCTTCCTCCAACACTCTGTACATTTTCCCTATAACTGCAGTTTATTTGGTTGTCCATATGCCCTTTTATTTATTTCTCCGCTTTTTCCTTAATGGTTTCTTTTTTTTTTTTTTTCAGTATCTACTTTACTATATTAATGTATTTATTTATTTGTTTGTTATTTATTTGATTCCTTTTTTTTTCTCCCTTGCTTTTCTTGATATACAGAGTCAAACTACTCTGTGTGATCTTTTATTAAGACAACCTTCTGAACTTAATTTGTGGTTAATTAATAACTTATGTGGTTTCAAGTATTTTTATTATATGAGATTACCAGTTAGCTAAAGTTTATTAATTAGGCACAGTCTTTATAATTATACATGCGTGTTTGTTAAATCCAGTTTTACTGATAATAATAAATTAGAATGCAAGTGTGAGTTGTAGGAAGAATTTATTTTTAATACTGGTATTATAATTTTATTTTTTGAGCGATTAATTCTGATGCTGTGTTGAGGAGGTAGACACTATATGGCATTAGAGGAGGAATTAATGAGAGAGTTTTTTTTACAGAGTAATAGGGACAGGTTATATAGAGAGATAGGAGGAGTTATAGGGAGAGGTTATATAGAGAGATAGGATGAGTTATAGGGAGAGGTTATATAGAGAGATAGGAGGAGTTATAGTGAGGGGTTATATGGAGAGATAGGAGGAGTTACAGAGAGAGGTTAAATGGAGAGATATGGGAGTTATAGGGAGAGATATGAGGAGTTTAGGGAGAGGTTATATGGAGAGATAGGAGGAGTTATAGGGAGAGGTTATATGGGGAGATAGGAGGAGTTATAGGGAGAGGTTATATAGAGAGATAGGAAGAGTTTTAGGGAGAGGTTATATAGAGAGATAGGAGGAGTTATAGGGAGAGGTTATATGGAGAGATAGGAGGAGGTATAGTGAGAGGTTATATGGAGAGATACTAGGAGTTATAGGGACAGGTTATATAGAGAGATAGGAGGAGTAATAGGGAAAGGTTAAATGGAGAGATAGGTGGAGTTATAGGGAGAGAAATGAGGAGTTATAGGGAGAGGTTATATGGAGAGATAGGAGGAGTTATAGGGAGAGGTTATATAGAGAGATAGGAGGAGTTAAATGGAGAGGTTATATAGAGAGATAGGAGGAGTTATAGGGAAAGGTTATATGGAGAGATAGGAGGAGTTATAGGGAGAGATAGGAGGAGTTATAGGGAGCGGTTATACAGAGAGATAGGAGGAGTTATAGCGATAGGTTATATAGAGAGATGGGAGGAGTTATAGAGAGAGGTTAAATGGAGAGATATGAGGAGTTATAGGGAGAGGTTATATAGAGAGATAGGAGGAGTTATAGGGAGAGGTTATATGGAGTAATAGGAGGAGTTATAGGGAGAGGTTATATAGAGAGATAGGAGGAGTTATAGGGAGAGGTTATATGGAGTAATAGGAGGAGTTATAGAGAGAGATAGGAGGAGTTATAGGGAGAGGTTATATGGAGTAATATGAGGAGTTATAGAGAGAGATAGGAGGAGTTATAGAGAGAGTTTATATGGGGAGGTTTTATGTAGAGGTTGTTTTTGTTTCTTCTATTAATCTCCTTGTATATGGAGATCAAAAATGTGTTTCCTCAGGAATAAAGATACATTGATAGAAAATAGAACATTTTCTTTTGTGAGTGCGATATCGTAGATATTTTGTATTTTGATCTGGTATTATATTTATGAGGGGTAACCCTTTGTGATACAAAACAATTTTAATAGGGGGTTGCTATATGAAGAGGTAGGAAGAGTTGTAGGGAGAGATAGTGGATGTTATATTTGGAGAAATAGAAGATATTATCAAGGAAAAGTTTATATAGATTTGATACCCATACATGTATATTGATATAAACTTATAGATATATACATCTATCAATATATTGGTAAATTCTAAATGTAATGAAATTAATTAATAAAGGGAATTATGATATCTTTTTTTTCAATAAGGAACTTCTGTATGAGATAGGTTTTTGCAATGTAATGCTGAAATGGTGATGCATGTTTTGTTCTGGATGTTAATATGTGTGGATACATTTATTTAAAGACTGCAATTACATTGATCTGAAGTGTATCAGTGTCCATAAAATATGTCTGTGTAAGTGCAGTATTTCTTAACGAGAGGAAATGTATACGTAAGTCTTTACAGGCTACAAGCAAGCTAACTCTGACTCTGGATCTTAATATCCCAAGCATGTCATTATTTCTGGTGACTAACCACCCCTAAAGAGATCAAAGTCCTCTACCTCTTTAGTGCCACTTAGGAAGCTTCTGTATCACTGTCTGGTCACCTCTCATCATTGTTCTCATTATCCATGGGCAGGAAGGTGTGTGAACTAATGACAGTGACATGTCTAGTAGGTTTAAGGGTAAGCCCCACTCGGGAACTGTGCTGCCTAGGAGCAGTGATGTGTATAATGGGTTAATAAACTTGCAGAGCCAGGGTGGCCTCAGATCACCCCCCCTCCTCCATCCCTGCTCACTGGGCCTTGTAAAGACTGAATGGTTTGAAACTTGCCTGCCTGCTAGTTAGACATTAAAGAGCTTTTATATATTTTAGTTTTTCAGTGGTAATATCTTGTTATCACTTCGTTTTTTTTCTTCCTTCTGGGCTCAGATTTCATAAAACTATAATGTTTCCAGCTCTCAAGCGTGTCTCTTGGTCACAGGATTATTGTGGGAGATTAGAAAGAATTCCTCTCGTCCTACACATGACTATTGTCAAAATCCCTTTTACTAACACGTCTCTGCATCCCACAACTTGTTTAAACACGAACAGTACAATGGTTGGAGATGGATGGGGGAAACCAGAATGCAAAATGAACACAAAGAAATGATATCTAAGGCGAATAGTGGAAAAGAGCAGGCATTGCTTAAGGGGAGAAAGTGTTTTCGACTCCTGCCTATGGGTGATGTGATGGAGTTGAAAGAATGGGGTACATGGTTGATAACGAAAGAGTTGTAGCATTTGGATTAGACAGGAAGAACTGAAAAGGATAATTGCAAATGCAAAAATACCAGAGTTTGTTTTTTCTCTATCGTTCTCTATTTTGACCTGAAATTTTCTGCTGCTTGTCAGTTCTACGCAATCTCCTCACTACGGCTTAGGGATTCATGTTATATATTTCTGTGACACCTGAGACACAGTAATGAGCATAGGGTGTCGTATTAGTAGATGAAAGAGGCAGCTGAAAATATATTTGTAGTAGAAAAGGGTCTGGATACCATATTCTAATAGATGAGGTAGTTGGTCTGGTGTAGCCATATAAGTCTAGTGATATGGATGCAAAATAACTGTATAGCACTAACTTAATAATGTTATTTTAATGCACATAAAATATATTGGAAAGACTAGATTTCTGAAGTTGCTCCCTTTTTCAAGTCAATAGGACATAGACCAAAAGTGTGGCCTTCCAAAATGTTGTTTGTCCAGTAAAACATATTGGAATACCCCATTCATTTACTCATATGTTAATATAAACACATCTGCTCAGCCAGTGATCTTTCCCTAATTCTGCCCAATTTTTACCCTGCTCTCCCCCATGGATTACCAGTACTTTAAATATGTGTGTATGGATTATTTATCTCCCCCACGATCATCCCCTTTGCCGTTGTTACACCACATACATTTTCCTGTGTTGTCCTTGTTTACCTGGTAACCTAATTTCCTATATAATACAATGTCATACCTGTCCATGTAAATGTACTTCAGATATAAAGTATCACACAAAACCTGGCAATTTCATTTTTGTGTAATTAGTCATCCTTAGACATTAATCCTACTGGGAATGCAAGCTTGTTAGCGACCCTTGATGTAGAAGAAACCATTCAAAGTAATCACTTGCATGACAAGCTGTTAACTCTTAACTCCTAAAAAATCATCTTGTCCTCTGCCGAAAACTGGCAGGCAGATTTACCGTCAAGAGAGGGTATGGAAATGGGTGTTGTTGTACAGGAAAAGGTTAATATTGTGTATAGTGAATGATCTCGCTGACTGTTCAGCTGGATGGACCAGACGCTTCTGAAAACAATAGGGATGTTGCTAATCCTGCAGACAGCAGCCCTATAAAAATCCCCCCTTTTGTAAGAACTGGGGCAGTGTCTGTAATGTAGATTGGGGGGGAAGGGACTGTCCCAATAAAACATGTCTGTTACTCCCTTCTGATTGGGATACAGTCTTTATTAACAACGCTGAATATTAAATGTGGACATGTCAGTGTGCATCAGAGTAGCAAGAAGTATCCTTTCATGGGTGACGATGTAGAAAGTACATATTCCAGAGCTGCATGGAAAGATATGATGCTCTGTTGTGGGCAAGTGTTTTGTACTTAAAGGGAAAAAGAAGTCAGAATATAATGGGGCCACAGCTTACTGTAGTTGCTTAGGGATTTGTGTTCTTTACCCTACTTTATCCTAGGAACAATCATGCCATTGTTTGCTGTAAAATGTCTAAAATGTCAATGTTCCCAAGCCAGTTCACAAAATCTGGTGGTCAATTATATCCACTGTAGCAGAACTGTGTAATCCCTAACTAATGGACCATTGGTGGTTCTTGATGAGTGAGGACTGGGATGTAAAATGCTGGTGTTGATGGAGTTATAGAAAGACATTTGCATGAAGATCATCTGTGTCACTCTTATAGGCTGTTGCTTTTTATGAGAGTCAATGTATCAAAGATTGTGAAGGATGCTGAAACCGATCATACATCAGGTAGCAGTATTCTCTTTGCATGTATTATTTGCAGTATTAAATCGGTACTGTCATGCCGAACCAACTTTTCTTTAATCGATTCCTCTTCTCTCCCTCTGTCAGGATCTGTTCTTCATTTTTTCCTATCTGCTCTAGTTTTCTTTAAAATCATAAGACAAAATAGGGACTATTTGTCTTATGCACATTTCCTGCGCCTGACCAGCTATGACCAGCAGAGGAGCAAAGTGTGCTTCATTTCCGGTGGTCAGAGCAATTTTCCCGCAATTCTCACCATTGACCTGTGATCTCACAATGCTTCCTGTCAGTATTCCCGAACGTCCTGTCACTTAGACAGAACGCAGGCGAAACTACCGAATTTCGTCCTAACCGAATGAGAATAGTTTGTTCATTCATGTTAGGACGCAATTCGGGACTTTGTTCGGATTGGAATTTCATTCGAATGAATGAAACTCTGATCCTATTTGTGCCGCGGCTGCATCTTGCAGCCGCTTAGTAGATAGCTCCCTAATTCCCATGGTATTAGGGAGCTATCTAACAAAAGGCTGAAAGACCTAAATTGGTCTTTCAGCCAAATTTACTAATACCGATTAAAGATTATTTAGTATTAGTAAATTCTACCCCTACTCGCTATACCGCGAGTAGGGGCATGTATAGTAAACAGTGAGCAGTTGTGTCCTAGTACTATGCCCCAAATATTTAAAATGTTAAATTTTACAGACCATTTGTGTCCTAGTACTATGCCCCCAATATTTCAAATAGGCAAAGAGGGACACTTTACTTTTAGTAAAAGGGGTGTGGCCAGGGGTGATGCTTTTTTGAGAAATTTTACTAATAATTTATAGAACTAAAATGTAATTTAGAACAAGAACAATATATATCTCATTTACACAGACTGACTTCTAAACACATTTATTGTAGTATAAAGACACATTACTGGGAGTAGTATTGCTGTGGAGCTCTGATATACACTAATTCACACCAACAATATGAAGCCCCTCGAAAAGAGGGACATAGGGATTTGGGCCCAAAATAGAGACTATCCCTACTAAATAGGGACACCTGTGAGGTATGTAGTACTGTAAATGTCCCCACCCAGCAATCCCCCTATGCATGCCAGTTTTCTGGGAGTTTAAGTGGACAAATCTTAGATATGACTATTTCAATATTTGGGTTATCACCATCATAGTATGCAATATACAAAACTACAAAACCTGGAGCATTTTGAGTTTTTTCATGTGACAGTTTCACCACATATGTATACTAATTTAACAGAAGCATTGTTTCCTGTATTTTTCCACACAGAGATTGAAATATTGCAGTGCATATTGTAGCCTTGGCGTGTTCTTCTACTGTAAAACCCCAGAATTGTATTCTGCTGCATCCCTAGACTATATCAATACCTACCTGCTACACCTTAGCTAGATTTGTAGGAAGTCATATTCTCAAATTATAGACATGTCCTCCATTTTGACAGACTGATTAGCTTAGTCTATGTGTCCTTTGGGATAGAATAGTTGACTCCATAATAAAATTAGCCCCATCAAGGTATTTGCAAATGTTGGCTCCCACAAGATATTTCTCATGAGATATTATCATCTTTTCATTTAGCCCATTTAATTTCAACTTCTGCAAAAATTTCTTGTATGATTTTACCTCACATTACTTTTTAATTTGCATTTCTCTCGCCCTTCTCACCTTCCTGTAGTCTTCACTAACTCATTTCCACCTTCTCTGCTGTGTGTGTAATGATTATTCTTTTGAGTTTTGTTAGATTTGACCTTGATAACAGTGTTTTTTCTTTGGGAGTTCTCCAAGTTGAAGCCATCTGTGCTGCTGCCAATTTTTGCCTGTCTTGGTTATTTATGTATAACTATAAAGATTTTGTATAATTTTACACAAAGGGAGCAGGGATTTGTACTACAGTGTACTTTGTTACAGGAAAACATATGTTGAAATTAATAGCGATATATTTAGAAACTTATTTTTTAAACCATTTGTGAGAACACAATTTTAAGGATCCCCTAAAAACTATACCCATTAAAAACAAGCCACATAAGTTTATTTTTGTGATTTGAATAAGCCACACTATATGATCCTCTAGGAAACATAATTTACAGGGGGCTGTAGTGGTTATAGTGTCTGTGGTCCTCAGGAACCATAGGTTAGTATATTGTTAAACAATAAAGGCACAACATTATATTTCAATTATTACAATGAATACATAGAAACATAGAAACATAGAACGATACTTCTATTGCCTATTGGTTGTGTATGTTAAACATCAGGTCTTTCTTTTTAATAAATCCAGTCTAATCTCATTTAGAGTATAAATTGCATCCGTCACAAATCCGTAACTCTACATTTATGCACCTTGAATCTCACCTATCACTTGCCTGTCTAGTCCCCTAGTTTAGCTACATCCATCTCCACTATGTTCAGGCTATAAGGTTTATCTCATTTTGTGTAATTTTCTAGTATTGACACAAACATACAATGCCCTTTACAGAATCATTAATAAAAAAGAGAACTGTACCCAGGACATAAACCTATGATTCTTCACTCACCAGCTGAGAAATATTTGTTCTCGAGACTTTTTTTTTAAACCATTTAGGTTCAAACAGTTTCCAAACATTCTCACCTTTACCAGCCGTTTATTAGTTTGTAATGCAAAGGAATAATAAGTGCTCTCTTCTCAGGGGTGAGCTGCAGTTCACCAACAAGGTGTTCCTCTACCTTGTGATAAATGGACAGATAAAATAGAAAGGTGAACAGCGCTAAAAATCAGAAAATGTACATACGTTTTGTAGAAATACTGGCCAGCAGAGTAACTTAAAAAAGAGAGAAACAAAAATACAAATAATGGTACAGTATGTATGAACGATATAATTCCACAAGAACAAAGGTGTTATATTCACACTCACACTTTGAGGAGCTATATCAGCTCGGTGTTAAGAGCCTGGACGGAATAATCCCCGTCTATGGATTTATATACTAGAGCAATGACCTGCTCTAGTTTGGAGAATTTCAGGTGGAATAATCCCCACCTTGGGATATAGTGGACCCAGGTATAGCAGCAAAGCAGTATTGGATAGGAAGGAGGACAAAAGGAATGACTGGATAGTTTAAAAAATATGTATACTTTAATACAATAAGTGAAAAGTGGATAATAAACTATAAAACCAGTCCTGTATAAAAGTCCAAAATTCTTCCTCACTTGACGCGTTTCGCCGAAGCTTTCTCAAAAGTGAATGCTTGCTGCTTGGGGTCCTTTATTAGTTTGTACAGTAAACTTCTGAAAATAATTACATTAAAGCCAAATAGATCTCATCTGCTGAGACACAAAGTATATATGTCTCTAAATAATAGGTTTAAGTTAGTCTGATAGGCTCTTTTTCCACCATAATTCTTACAAATGATATCGATCTTTTCAAAAAGATATAATGAAAGTAAACTATCTCAGTTCTCAAAATATTTACAGTACCCTGATAATATCTCAACAGTCAGTCCAGCTTGTCTTCATAATTTTACCCAGTAGCCTTCCAGCCTGCAGTCAATGCTGGCATTATATTTTTTTCAGCCATCTTATTAAATCTGGCTGGCTGCATTTTTTTAAAGCTGCTCTGTCATTATTATTTTATTATTTATAAAGCGCCAACAAATTCCCGTAGTGCCTTTGGAGACGGCTTAGGTAGAGAAATGAACAGCTCTGGTGGACATTTCTGCAGTTAACATGCCAATTGCATGCTCCCTCAACACTGTGGCCAGCCTAAGGCACACCTGTGCAATAATCATGCTGTCTAATCAGCATCTTGATATGCCACACTTGTGAGGTGGATGGTGTGAAGAAACCACACACTTAGTTAGTTAACTTAGATTTTTCTCTTTCGGTAGATAAAACTACCGAACACCAACCACCCCCTGGCTCATTAACTATAATGTAAAAAACACAGATTAAGTGCTCTCCCCGTGTGGCCGCTATTCGTATGGCCTTACGCCACGTTTTGGAGAAAATGGCAGCAATCTTGTTCGCACGAAAAGATGCAGCGGGACTTGGTCTTCGAGTGTATGGAACTAAAATCAGACACTCGACTTCCCGAACGCCGGTCAACTTCGCGAACGCCTACTTCTTTTCACCAACCAGCCAGGCGAGCGCTATTCAGTTAATCCACAAATTAAGGGAACAAACGCTATCCATGAGCCAGGGGAACAGTTTGAGAATTTGTTTGGTTTTTACCTCTAAAACTGTGGAACTGTTTTGGGCATAGAATCTTGTGTGCGGTCAAATTATGACCTCCATGGAAATCCCGAACCCCTGAACTGATTTGGGTGATTTTTGGATATGTTGGTCCCCCAAGATCGGGGCTATCAGGGGATATGACTGTTGTGGGGTTTCCACGGGTTTTGTTGAAATTTATGTTTTTTGTGCCTGGATATAATTGAGTTTAGTACAATCCTTGACTTAATTATCTCCCAAGCACAGGGGAAGGATTATCCTATTTTATGTGGGAGTGTCCTGGACCTGAGAGCCAATGTATTTACAGTATGTATTTGGTCATAGTCCCCTCTCAGGTCCAGTGGGGAATGCCCCTGGAATATGTCACTGTAAACCCTGTGCATGGGGACTTGCATATAAACCGGCCAGTTGGCCTAAATAAATTCATTCCTGTTGTACCCTTTGTCTAGTCTAGGTTGATGTTTGGGTATACGTCTGATTTGCTTGGTGAATTTACTTGGATACTGTACTTCTTCTGGAGAACGTTCGAATCAACACCCGAACTGCGAGCTATAACCACTCAGCCTCTAGCAGTTCGGGAGGAAACGAACAGGTATCTGAAATACCAGCGTTCGTTACAACTGGTGGCAAGCGGCGGGATCCGAACGTTCGAATGGAATGCCTGAACCAGGAGAATCAGTGAATGGCACAGCAGTATAAATGGCTAAAGAAAACAATATTAAAGGATCTGCTGGAAGCTCTAGGTCGGTCGGCAAGTAATACGAAACGAGCCGTGCTGATAGCCGAATTAATGCAGAGCGGCCAAGCCAGCGATGCTCCTGAAATAAGCAGGAAGCAGAATTTCAAAGAAAAGTCAGATGGCGACTCAGTTTGTTGGGGCCAAACCCTGCACCGGAAATGGTGCTACAAGTAATGGAGCAAGTATCCACTGCACAGCTGGCACAACAACCCAACCTCTACTCAGGTGAGACAACTTCACTACAAGGGTAATGGTGGGCAACAAAAAAAAGTGAATTATGCTGCGTTTAAAAGCTTTGTGGATGGCGAAATGGACAACTCTGTGGAGCAGTGGATGACTCTGCATGAGGTGAATCCAATCCAGGCTGCAGGTGAAAACAGGGACCATCATCGCCCAGAAAGTACCTTAAAACCCATGGAAACTGTTGCCGGAATGGACGCATGGGGCCTGAGAAACACATGCACCACCCTCACTTTGATACAGCCACACAGGATTCATGCTCAAGCCCGCACCTACAAGACAATAGGTGTAAGGGTGGCGGGAGAAGCCATCCAGAAGCTCCCCACTGCCTGAGTGCACCTCAACTGGGGCTCGGGAGACAACTGGGGCATAATGAAGGAGCTGCCAGCCGAAGTGTTATTGGGGAATGACTTGGGCTGCCTAACCTCGCAGCACACACCTACCCAGAAGAAACGTACCTAGTGACCACCAGATCGCAAGCACGCAGGGGGGAGCCACGCACTCCAAGGAACCTCGGGTAGGACCTTATGTCCCTCCCTCAACCGAAGTCCCCCTAAAAGGCTTTGAGCAAGAGCAGATGGCTGATCTCACACTAGAGGGATATAGGAAAGAGGCAGCATCCCCCTAAGGAGACATACCTCAGGAAAGATTTGAGTGAGACCAGGGTTTATTATACCATGTAACAGGGGGAACAGGTAGTTGATAGTACCCCGTAAATTTAGGGCAGAGCTACTCAAGCTCATCAATGACATTCCCCTACCAGGGCTTCTGGGGGTCCAAGAGACTAAAGACCTGCAAGATTACTGCAGGACGTGTGACACCTGCCAAAAGATAGGGAAGAGGAGTGATCACCCGAAGGTCAAGTTACACCCTTTACCCATCATCGAGGAACCCTTTCACCAGGTAGCAGTGGACTTGATAGGCCCTCAGTAAGCCCAGCACCTCGGGAAAGAACTATATCCTCACGGTAGTAGATTATACTACTAGGTAGCCTGAGGCTGTAACTCTTTCTAATATAGAGGCAGAGACTGTGGCCGAAGCTCTGGTAATTTTTTTTACTAGGGTTTGTTTCCTTAGGGAGATTTTTTTCTGATCAGGGGACTCAATTTACCGCAACTGTGACCCAACACTTATGGCAGAGTTGCGGAGTGAAACCCCTGTTCAGCTCTCTCTACCATCCCCAGATGAACGGACTCTGTAAACATTTTAACGGCACACTCAAGCAGATGCTTAAGATGTTCGCAGCCTCCTGTCAGCACTGGGAAAGATTTCTTCCCCATCTCCTGTTTGCCTACCGTGAAGAACCCCAGACATCTACAGGGTTCTCCCCCTGCGAACGCCTTTATGGGAGAAAAGTCCAGGGGCACCTCAAACTCAAACAGGAGCACTGGGAGGGTAACACAGGAGAAAGAGGAATACCTAATGTACCCTATGTTCTGGAGTTGACTGACCACTTGCAGATGCTCACTGACTCTGTCCGGGAGAATCTGCAGGTGGCCCAGCAGCACCAGAAGAGGTGGTACGACAGGGACACCCGAGATTGGGTCCTAGAAATAGGACAGAAGGTATTGGCTCTGAAGCCGTCTAAGAAAGACAAGCATCAGGCCGCCTGGCAGGGACCTTTCCGGGTAGTGGAGAGTATAAGCGACACTACCTACATAGGAAAATGATCGGATGAAAGGATACGAAGATCCTTTCATGTAAACATGCTCAAGCCCTACTTTGAGCAGGTGGAGGACGTAACAGCAGTATGTGCCCCTTCGTTTGAGGATAGCGAGGGTCTTCTCCTACCTGACTTGTTCACCCGGGAAGATAGCAAAAGGCGAAAAATTTAACTCTTTAGAGAAGATTGAGGCCTGTCAGCTGCTCTAGGGACACAGGGAAATGTTTTCCGCCTTGTCAGGGTACACCTCCCCTGCGGTCCACCAAGAGAAACCCCGCTACGGCAACAACCATACCGTATCCCTGAAGCCATTAGAGAGAATATGCTGTCTGAGATTCAGGAGATGTTAAAGGTAGGAGTTATCGAGCCCTCTCAGAGTCCTTGGGCTTCTCCTGTAGTGCTGGCACCCAAGCGAGACGGCACAAGTCTCTTCTGTATTGACTACTGGAAGCTTAACGACAGGACCGTAACCGACGCCTACCCCATGCCCAGGATAGACGAATTACTAGATCGTATGGCTGGGGGAATTACTTGACTACCCTAGATTTGTGCAAAGGCTACTGGCAAATCCCCCTGGAGCCAGAGGCCATTCCTAAATCGGCATTCGTTACCCCATTTCGGCTATACCAGTTTAAGGTTGCCTTTTGGGATGAAGAATGCCCTGGCTACCTTTCAGAGGATGATTGATAGGCTCCTAGAGGGATTTCAGGACTTCGCATGTGTGTACGTGGATAATATTGCCATCTACAGCCACACATGGGAATATCATCTGGAACACCGATCTAGGGTACTCAAGCAAATTCAGGCAGCAGGGCTCAGTCTGAATCCTGATAAGTGCCATGTCGGTATGGCCGAGGTACAGTATCTCGGCCATAGGGTGGGTTCAGGCAAACAGCGATCCGAACCTGCCAAGGTGGAGGCTATTGCCAACTAGCCACAACCCCGTACCAAGACCCCAGGTACTAGCATTCCTACTACTACCTCAATTTTGTCCCCAAGTACAGTGCCCTGGCCAAACCCCTCACGACCTGACCAAAAAGTCCCTTCCCAGACAGGTAGCATGGTCCCACGGAGTGCGCGGCAGCTTTCCAAAAACTCAAAATGGTGCTGAGCGAGGCACATGGTTGGCACCCCAAACCATGCTAAAAAGTTTCTTGTCCACACAGATGCCTCCATGTTTGGGCTGGGAGCCATGTTGAGTCAAGTGGGGGACGACTGGATGGACCATATCTCAGCCGGAATCTATTACCTAGAGAGGTCAGCTATGCCACCGTGGAGAAGGAATGCCTGGCTCTCATGTGGGCATTAAAGAAGTTGCAACCATACCTCTACGGTCATCCCTTTACTTTAATGACAGACCATAACCCCCTCATCTGGTTAAACACAGTCGCTGGAGACAATCCCCGTTTGTTACGCTGGAGCCTGGCCCTGCAACTCTACAATTTCACCATGCAGTACAGGCTAGGCAAACAGAACGGCAATGCTTATGGTTTATCCCGGCAAATCTAGGCGGTTATGCCGACCCATGGAACTAAAGGGGAACAATGTAAATAAACCACACACTTAGTTCGTTAACTTTGATTTTTCTTGTTCGGTAGATAAAATTACCAAAAACCAACCACCCCCCTGGCTCATTAACTACAAAGAAAAAACACAGATTAAATGCTCTCCCTGTGTGGCAGCCGTTTGTATGGACGGACGACACGTGTTGGAGAAAAGGGCGGCTATCTTGTTCGCACGAAAAGAGGCAGCAGACTTGGTCGTCGAGTGTCTGGAGCTAAAATCAGACACAGGACTTCCTGACCAGCCAGGAGAGCGCTATTCGGTAGTTTTGTTCCGACTAATTAAGGGAACAAACTCTACCCATGAGCCAGGGGAACAGTTTGTGAATTTGTTCGGTTTTTAGACTTCCCAAAATGGACTGACCGCTACCTCTAAAACCATGGAACTGTTTTGGGCTTAGGATTTTGTGTGCGGTCGGTCAAATTATGACCTCCATGGAAATCCCGAACCCCTGAACTGACTTGGGTGATGTTTAGATATGTTGGTCCCCAAGATCGGGGCTATCAGGGGATATAACTTGTGAGGTTTCCATGGATTTTAAGGTACTTTCTGGGTTTTTGTTGAAATTTATGTTTTTTTGGTGCCTGGAGATAATTGAGTTTAGTACAATCCTTGACTCAATTATCTTCCAAGCACAGGGGAAGGGTTATCCTATTTTATGTGGGATTGTCCTTGTCAAAAGTGAAAAGCTGTAAGCGAAACATGTCAAGTGGAGATTAAGGATTGCCTACAAGGACTGGTTTTATTTATAGTTCTTTTTACTATATAGTTCACTTTTAAATAGTTTTATTAATTCTGTTTATTAATAAAGATTCTGTTTTAATACCCAGTCACTCTTGAGCTCCTTATCCTCTCACCATCACTCTGCTGTTCCTGATCTACATATATCCCCACCTAAAGCTCCATACACTAGAGCAGGTCATTGCTCTAGCAAATGTAAGTAGGTCAAATATTATTTACTTTTCCTACTTTTACATACGTACTGTACCATTGGTATACATCCTTATTTTTTTCATATGATGAACCGCACTACCTTGGGAATCTGATACCAGCAAAAAGAAATCCTTAGACGGGGATTATTCCGTCCAGACTCCTAAAATAGAGCTTTTTAAGCTCTGGAAAACGTGAGTGCCCCTTTGGAATATATCTTTATCACCATATTATTCATAACATACTGCACTATCATTGTACTTTCTTTTTTCTTTTTTTTAAGAGTAAGACACATAATTGCAAAATATGCTGCTACTTGTGTATGTATGATTTTATTATAATAATTCTTAGCGCTGTCCTCCTAATTTACTAGCTTCTTTTGAGTACCTAGAAAAAGTCTTAGATCTTTGAGTTCAGCTCATGAAAAATGGGGGCAAAAACAAAAGTGTTGCTTTTATAATTTTGTTCAGTGTATATATTTAGAAAACATTACACGAAAAGTGCTGGTCAAGAAATTTGCTGATATACCTTTAAACTTTTTTACATTGTGAGTAGATTCATGGTAGGGTTTCTATGGTATGTTTTGCTGTTCATTTTTAGTATCTGCCTTTTTGTATGATAAACGCATATCAGACTGATCGTTTCTTTATCTTTCACTTTTGGTAAATAAATCAGTTGGATTAAAGTTTAATCAATTTCTACTGAAAATGCGTAACATGACATAAGGACATGACTCACACAGGCCTCTTTATTGGTAACAAAACAAAACACTTTTCATGCTTGAGTTTTCACAAAACACACAAAGCTTTGTGTGTAAGCCCTACCTGTCTACATAGGCACTGTAATAGAGCACACATTGAGACAGAAAAAACATACATGGAATCTAAGCCTGCTTATAATGTTTTTAAATGCAAACACAGGGCCAGGCAGATGGCTCTGTTTCCTGAAATCCTCAAATTAAAGGAACACTGTAAGCAGGGCTGGTGCAAGCATTTTTGCCGCACTACGAAAAAATATTTTGACGCCCCATTCGCTCCACCCACTAATAAAAACATAGAATGTGATGGCATATAAGAACAATTCGGCCCATCTAGTCAATAGCTAGGATAGCCTTATGCCTGTCCTACGCATGCTTAAACTCCTTCACTGTGTGTCACATATCCATCTGACACTTTTCCCTCACCTGGTGCTCAGCGGCCGGAAGCTTGCAGTCCTGACTATCTCAGCATACAATCTGGCACCGGCCGTTGCACATCCACGGGCCGAAATAACCGCACGTGAACGCGCGCGTGCACCGGACACGCACATTTTTGAGCCAAAATACCGGGCTGACCAATGGGAAAGGGAGGATGGATATAAAAATCTAGTTTGACCTCCACTCAGTGCCCTGTCGTGGTTTCCCTTGTGGTTGTTAGAGAGTTTTATAGTTTTCTACTGGTTTTTGACTTTGGCTTTGCTTATTGACTTCTCTGTATTCTGGTATCCTGACTCCTGGCTTTCCTCATCGTTACGTCCCTTTCTGTGTTCCCTGACCTTGGCTAGTATTTTGACTATTCTATGTACGTTAAATCCGGCCATTCTAAGGACCGGTAATATGTTACTTATTTGTCATTCAGGCTATACAGTTCTACGTGCTGGATCATACAGTAATCCTGATACTGTGTTAACCTCTACCACTTCAGCTGGCAGGCTATTCCATGCATCCACAACCCTCTCAGTAAAGTAATACTTCCTGATATTTTTAAACATTTGCCCCTCTAATTCAAGACTATGTCCTCTTGTGGTAGTTTTTATTCTTTTAAATATAGTCCCCTCCTTTACTGTGTTGATTCCCTTTATGTACAGACACACACACTGACCCATGCAGACACACACTGACCCATACAGACAAATACACTGACCCATACAGACATACACTGAGCCATACAGACACACACACTGACCCATACAGGCACACACTGAGCCAATCAGACACACACTGACCCATACAGACACACACTGAGCCATACAGACACACACTGACCCATGCAGACGCACACTGAGCCATACAGATACACACTGACTAAAGCAGAGATACTGACTACAGCAGACTAACACACATTCCCTGACACAAGTCTTACCTTCATTGCAGTTCCTGTGTCCATCTTTCCTCTGCCTGTCTGCTTTCACTTCCTGTAACAACCCTGCCGCTGCTGTGCTCCCGCCCACTTGTCATCACTTACAGGGCAAGGGGTGGGAGCGGGCATTTGAAGCGCCCTCGTGCAGTTGATGACTGGGAGGGGGGCCTGGCTGAGCGGACTGAGGTGGATGCCACCGGACCAGTGTTTTACTGGGCGCTAGTTAACAGCAATCTAAGCGCTCCCTAGTGTTCGGTAGCATGGCCGGCACGCTCTGATTAATTAATAAATAATCCCACCTAGGGCATTGCTTTACGCCTACTTGGCCTATAGGAAGCGCCCTGACTGTAAGCACTGAATCTGCCTCATCTCATCAAACTGGTTGTAGTGTCTCGAGTACCCAGGTACCATCATTTCATTCAGCATAAAAAAGTTTTTAATGTTTTTACGTTTTAATGCTAAATGAGAGTCCCCCAGAAGCCTCTCTGTTGCTTTGCCTAGTGAGTAAGCTTGAGAAGCAACGGGCAGCTGTGTGGGGCTGAGCGTGTCAGCTGATTGCATTAAGCCTTTCAGAGCTCCAACTACAAGGAAGTGTGTAATCTCTACACACCCTGAAGGGGCTGGACTGAGGGAGACCAGGGACCCTTATTTATCATTAAACGACCCTAAACTGTTTTAACTCTGAATGGAGGGACAGTGCCAGGGAACTATTTCAGAGAGATGACATAGTTATTGTGACCACATTATCCCTTTAAAGATGCCATAATATATCCTATTTTGTTTCTTGTAGAACACATAAAGAAAATACAAACGTGTATACATGACCCTATATTGTTAAAACACTTTTCAGGTGTAGCCGGCCCCTCCTTGCCCCCCTTAAATAGCTCTAAAATGTACCTTTATTCCAGCTTTGCCCTGTTGCACCAGCGCTGTCTGCACCAATGCACGCCTTTTTGGCTAACCTATGGGAAAGCATTGCATTGGCTGAGATTGTCAATTCTGATGATCTCAGCCCAGGAGGCAGGTCTGTGATGGAGCCAAATGCTGCACTGGCCAATCAACATCTCCCTATAGAGATGCACTGAATCAATGCATCTCTATGAGGAGTGTTCAGTGTCTCAATGCATAGTGTGGAGACGCTGAACATCAATGCTGTACATTGGGCAGCACTGACCCAGGAAGCACCTCTAGTGGCCATCTGAGTGACTGCCACTAGAGGTGTCCCTATGCAGCAATGTAAACACTGCCTTTTTTTCTGAAAAGACAGTGTTTACATGAAAATGCCTGCAGTGACTGACTATATTCACCAGAACAACTACATTAACAGTATAGTGTTCCTTTAACAATGAACAACCAGCATTCACTTTTTCAAAATATCCACTAAGTATGTGATAACCTTGGACCGCTGATCAGTTTCACCATTGTACAGGTTTGTTACTAAAAGTTATCATCTGAAGCTATCATCTGAAGGCAACTTGCTGCCCTATTACTGAAATGCTACCCCTGTAATAACACTTGCCGTAATTTTGAGTTGACAATTTTCACTGGATAGTTAAATCTGTTTTATTTTTGGCCCAAGCTCACTGTACGTCAAAGCCAGGCATGACAAAGACCCAAGAAATGTAGATCCTAAAAGATTTCACTGCATGAAACAATTTTTTTTAATTATTTTATATAATAAGAACTAAATAACAAAAATACCAAAATGTGTACTAGGACATGAAATAAGGGTGAGACTTTAACCACGTTCTTATCTAACACTGCTAAGTATAATGCCACTTATACAGGTTTATGCTCTAAAGTGTTTTTGTTTATATTATATAGATTAATATTTTAATATGTTGGCAAAAGGATATAAGATTGCAAAAACAAACCTTTATGATTAAAGAGAAAAACAATCTATGACATTACACATTTTACATTTCCAAAAGCCAAAAACAGAGAAACCATGACTACAAATCAATACACGATTACAGCATAATAACTGTCCGAATGTCCAATAAAGAAATTCATTTGTATTCCTTGCTGACCAAGATTTTCTTTATTTCTGTAACAGAGCCTCCAAGGGCCACATGCTCAATAACCAAATCTTTCAGAGCTCTGGGATTTCCAGCATGATAGTCTTTAGGGTATCTTGAGGCAATGAATTTCTCAAAATGAGGTATCTCTGTTCACCGAATCTATTCTGTAGACAACACAGGCAGCTTTAAAGATACACCATAAATCTTGAACAGTAGTCTGTGAGATAAATCAATATCATACTTAAAAACAGTGATTATGGATGAGAAATCAGAAAATTTTTGTATAGATGTTTTTGTGTTAGACAGTGACTGTGGCTTTTTAGAATTTTAATTATCTCTGTATTTTCTAAATTTACTTGGAGAAAAATATACTTTCAATTTCTTCATTTGTAAACGATGACCCTGGGATGAATTGGTAATTACATTTTCAAATATGGGTCTAACAAAATGAAAGTTTCTTTATGTAGCAATGGCACTCTACATTATTATTATTAATATTTATAAAGTTCCAGCAAATTCTGTAGCACGGTACAATGTGTGGACTAACAGATAAGTATTTGTAACCAGACAATTCAATGCAAATGCGTTTGCCACGCATGAGCATTAGCGCTCACTTGCCGCAGGCCGTCGGAGGGGAAAATGTAAGTAAAATAAAAGGTAAGGGAAAAAGGTAAGTAAAGGAAGGTTTTGTTTACCCTTTATTTATGGGGAGGGGGGCGGTAGAGATTTTTGTATTCCTGGCACTTATACCTTTAACCTCTTGTGTGTACTGAGGTAATATTAGGGAATGCATGCATATAGTTGGCATTGAGTGAGGTAGTACTAGGATTTGTAGGCACACAAGTACTTCGTGTTTGCTGAGGTTAGTGCAACATGTGCGGTGGCCTTGGGGCCTAACGGATGGCCCATGCACTAAGGGCCACCTGACAGGTATTATTGCTAAACAGAGGCCTGATCAGGCTCTTAAAGGGCCAGCAGTATTGATGATGCCAGGATGAGCCCAGACACCCCTCCCCCATCCCACCCAGACAGGTCTCATCAGGACCCTGGTTGGTTGCCATGGGCTTTTGGCAGTGTTTAAAGTTTGTGAAGTGCCTGCACCAGCAGACAGCACCCACTTAGACCAGGATTAGGCCTTGGGAAGCTCAGCCCCAAGCATAGTTTCACCTATCACATCTGCATAACAAGATGTTAGCATCTAAATTATGGCTCAATTCATTCACAATCCCAAATTGCCAACTACATGCGTACAGTGAGATAAAACTGTGTGTAGTTTGTATTTGAATGGCAAGGAGGAAGTAAAATGTCATGTTTTGACGTCAGGCATAGAAGGGTCATTCTAAGAACTGCATCAATTTTTTGCAAATTGTTGCACTTACAATTTTCAAGGATACAATGAATCTAAGTTGTTATACTGCTTAGCATGAATATTTAAATGTTACCATTGAAATCTTTCTATCACGGTCAAAATATCCAATAGAAGAGCGATTGAAGGGCAATAATTTTGAAATTGTTGAAATTGCTGTAGTATAAAAAAGAAAATTCATGAGTGTTGTAATCCATAAACCTTTTAAAGATCTATAATGAAGGATCTCTCCATACTACAAGGATGTCAATGAAGGACCACAAACGCAACCCAGCTGCTGGTGTTTGAATGGATTAACTCAAAATGACCAATAAATGAAGTCACATACCTGGATACAAAATGGATCACCAATCACCATTTCATCCAATCCTATCTAAAATAGTTTGATGGAAAAAAAAAAAAGAACTAAGTGCAATAAATCATCTCATCTCAAATGTGTTTACGTTGATCTAAAAAGTGTTGTATTGCCGTCAGTGCTAGATAATGATATGTTTGGTTCAAGGCTACAAATTTAAAGTAAGCTAACAGTAATCCTCTGCCCATTCCAAAAAAGTATTGCATAGGCACACAATGGTTTCTAAGGTGAAATGTATGTTTCCACATATGAAAATCTGTTTATGTAATAACAGTGGGAGCATTTGTACAAGAAATAAAAGGGCATTCCAGTGGATTAATCAGACACTTTAGAATGTAAGCTCGTTTGTGAGGGGCCCTCAACACCCTCTGTTCCTGTGCGTCCACCTCATCAATTACGGGTCTGTTAGTCCACCTCTTGTACAGCGCTACAGAATTTGTTGGCGCTTTATGAATAATAATAATTTGAATGTAGATAAATAAAAATAGGGTTTTAATACTACTGAAGGGAAAATAAATCTACTCTCTGATTTATTGTTAAATAAATAATATTTATTTAAATAAATACTATCTTGTCTGCCATTTCTAATATTATGTCTGGACAGTTTTGCAGTTCAGCGACATATTTATGTTCTGTGGATGTAAGGTTATATCCCCCTTTTGTCCTTAATATTACATGGTGAATCAAAGTCACCCTGTACTGCTTGAATGAACATTCCTATTATTTCTATTTTGAAAATGTAGAATGGCTTGAAAGAACTGACAATAGGGGTCTCAAATTGCTAGGTTTCCAAAGTATTCTCTATAAAAGGCTGTCTGTCTTTTCAGCTTTGATAAGTCTAAAAGATCTACCAGTTTGATTAACCCTTGATAGTCCTAAGGAATCTTTTAACATGCTGGATATTAAACCTGTATTTTCTTGTTCTTGTATAGTAAAGTATCTGGTTACTAGGAGTTTCCTAGTAAAGCTTTTTTCAAAGTGCTGAAAGAGATTTAGACCACGTGATTAGACCAAAAGAGACAAACAATTCAACGGAAATAAGAGGCGTCAAGTTACCTTTATAACCTTTGTAATGTTAACTGGCTGAATTCTTTTTATAGGTCTTTAAAGGGATACTGAAGTGTCAGGAATAAAACTATAGCCACTGAAGGCAGACTTAGAGCTGCTATGTAAACACTGCTATGGAACTGCAATGTTTTACATTGCAGCACTAAGTGCAAAAGGGATACAGCACCCAGACCACCTCAGTTAGCTGAAGTGGTCTGGGTGCCTTAAGTGTCCCTTTACTATTTCATGCATATTAAAGCAATTTTTATAAGATGTTATTCTTTAAATATTTATCTTAGAGAGAGCACAGAGGAGGTCACTTCTCCAGATGGATACTAAATGTTTTCCCATCATCTGAAACAAATTGGGTGAGGATATTGGGGAGACAATTTTACAGTTCTCTCTAAGTATTGGGATATATAAAAAAAAAATGAGAATGATCTTGAAGGCAGCTGTGGGCCCAGTAATTTAAAGGTTATTACCAGTTCCACCACTCCTCTTTTTATTTGCTTATTTCACAACATAGAAGAATGAAATGCTAGTCTCAGACACCTAAAAAGAGAGACTGGAGGGAGGTATGTCATGGAACATCTGTAATATGCAAACCTCAATTATAGTAGTGCTTTTAAAAAGAACCTCTGGCTATGCAGTGCATGTAATATTCTGACATAAAAGTTTCAGAAATCCATATGACGAGTGCTGCTATGCAGTTTTGGTGGTTTATTAATGCGATTATTACACAGAGATTTAACAGACGCTGTGTTAGGTACTATTTAAACAGTAATATGATTATAATAAATGTGACGATAGGTTCTCTAAAATATAGGGAGATAAAAAGCATTTTAGCATGATTATGTTAAGGAGTCAGCCTTTTTAGAACCAAAGTGCACTAATGGCATTCACATATTTACAATTTACATTTTAATTCCTTTCTTTAATGGGGTTGTAAAATATTGGTGGTATGAGCAGGTGTACCATATATGAATAATGATTAGCTGCTTTAAACAAGCAAGAATAATTATTGGGTGACCTTTTGCCATTTGGTCGCCAGCTCTTCATAGAATCAATGGCTTTTTTTTTCTATCTATCTATCTATCTATCTATCTTTTTTTTTTTTTTGCTGCTGCTGCTGCTGTTTTTTTGCTGCACAGTTTGATTTGTTTATAAAACCCAGCTGACCCTTGAAAGACAAATAAGGAGTTTTCAACTATAGGAAATTGTAAACTCCCATCCTTCCTCTTCTTGGTCATCCTTTCCCTTTCTCAGTCCTGTCCTGTATGTGACTGTTCAAAAACTCTGCTGTCCTCCAGCCCCCTCTGGTATTATTTTCACCTCTATGACACATGGTTTTCCCTTGTATCGGTCCATCGTGGAAACTTTGCTTTGTGACTTGGAGTGCTTTCACATGCTGTGGTTCTTTATATAAGGGTAAAAATTAGGAGTGATAGCCAGAGCTGGGTTAATATTCCACTGTATTTCAGAGAATATACCAATTAAAGCAGCACTGTCACCTCCTACCCCCCCAAAATAAAATGAGTATTTTATAAAGTTAGAGTCTAAGTGCCAATCTCACCATTAACGGCTGCAGGGAATTCGCTGTGTCTATGGAGGATCCTCCATAGGTCTCAATGTTGCTGAGCGAGACTACAGCAGTGACATCAATCCAAAGAGGACACGCCGGATCTAGATGGCCGCATCCATGAGGAACACCGGACCACCAGCGATGTCCTCAGATGGTGACAGTGCCACTTTAAGACACTTCCCCAAATCCTTTTTACATAAATGTATGCTTAATAGGATGCTCTAAGCAAAATCAACACAACAGATTTTGGTGCTAGAACTCTTGTGGGTGCAATCCCTCCCATTTCTGTCAAACCATTTTTAAGTTAGACAGAAACTGTGAAATCTCCCTGGCACCCAAAGCCCACCCATCAACGTAGGAAGTCATATCTTCCCCATTGTGCATTTACAATATTTTTATGGGTGAGTGGAATTTGACTTTACTAAATTACTGCTATCTCTTTTTCTGCTGCCGAATTGACACAGGTTGCAACGTTAAAGGTGTCTTAATAATTAAGTGAATCATATTTAGACTTTCAGAGGTGTTAGCGATTCTCTTTATCATTCTTCTTATTTGGTCCTTAGTAGTAGTACATTATTAAGAGTTTCTGTTATTTAGTAAAGTCACAGGTTTTGGTGGTTGTGAAAGCAAGGCATTGACAAAAAAATAGGCCCAAGGATTTAAAAGAACAGCAGAATACTTTCAAACTTTACAAATTGAGGATTAAGGCTAAGAGAATTAGGTTAACTCGTTTGAAGGTTAAAGAAATTATTATTAAAGTTTGGATTAGGTGGTTTAGAAGAATTATGGTTTGGAGATTTAGGGTTAGTAGAATTTGTTAGGAGTTTAGGATTTACAAGAATTAGGGCAAGGAGAGTTAGGCTTGGGTTAAGAAGAACAAAAAAAATTAAATCTGGGCTTACGAGCTCTTGATCTTGACCCTTTCCCTCACGATTTCCATCTGTTCTCAGACTCTAGTGTGGCTGAGTGGCACCAATCTATTGAGTGATATTCCCTGTCAGATCTGACAGATTTTGTAATCCAATTCTGGTATGTGAGTTGTGTTACATACTGTTATATGCACACACAACCTTTGTCCTCAAACACAATTCTCGTGGCAGTGTCACACAACAACAAGGCCTCCAGGGCACACAAGTATCTCTGGGTAAATTGGTAAAATTGATAAAAAAATGTAAAGATGGGATATAGCCTGGACAGAGTTGGCAATGGTAGCATTGTATAGCTAAGTTGCAAACATTGAACATTAACTGTTAACCTTTCATATTCTTATTTATCAGCATTGATATTTACGCTAGCAAGTCAAGAAAAGACAAAAAATTATTAGAATATTTCCTCACAAATGGGATAAAATAAATCTCAACTAACAGAGCTGATCAGGGTGTATGCCGAGGCAAAGATTGCAGTGATTTCCAACATTATGCTAACATGTATCTAGAGGGGTCCTCTGGCTTGTTGGGTTTTCAATGTCAGTCTTCAGGACCGACCAGTAAAACAGAGATCACAAACTGCTGCTCTGATTAATGTCTTCTAGCAGAATGTAGCAGTGCATGGATGGGAGAGATACGAATGATGAGTGTGGGGAAGCAGATAACGTCTGAAAGATGTTTATTAACACAGTTGTGCTTGCTATAAATTCTTCCTTCTCCTCAATTATTAAAACAAGCATTAACATTGGCTAATAGTTCAATCGGCACCTAAGGGTATTTGTGTGCATGTACAGTACATATACTCAACACATTCCTGCTGAGAAATATTCACTGTATCATTACAGAGCAATTGCAGAGAATTATTGCAAATTACGCTCAACAGGATTCTGTTATCACTTTGTCCTGCTTCATGATAAATTGTCCCATGAGCCTTATTAGTGTGCCCATTGTAAAGGGAATTGGGGTCACACATAGCTTCAACACTTAAAACACAAAATGTGTGTTTGATTGGTTCTCTGTATATCTTCTTAATTATTTATCGTGTTTTAATAAAGTTAATGCTCTATTCTCCAGTCAAAATATCCAGGCTAGAATTACAGTCCTCGTTCGAGTATTTAAGAATGTTTACACTTGTAGAGCAAGTTGGCAGAGTGGCTTAATGAATCAGCCATCGATTTAAAAAAACAAAAACTATGCCCATTGCATACCTCCCACAACTAAAGTGCCTCTCTTTGTCCATTTTAAATGATGGAGAGTATGCCATTGTTTTACTATTGCTTGATTTAGGGGGAGAGACCATACCATGTGTGTGCCCTGCACAGTGGATGACTTGATCCCACATTTGGCAACACCATTGGTCTTTCTATTGCTTGGGATATATGGAGATAATACTGTTAATGATACATGCTAAAGCGATCTGTAATAGTAATCTTACTAAAACAACATTCCCAGCATAGATAGGTGCGTTTAGGGGGTCTATGATTTTTTATTTATTTTTTTCAAAAAAGTGTGAGGGATTAAAGGTAATATTAATAAATCTGGATCAGAATTGTACACACGCTATGGAATCTGATGACGCCATGTAAATAATAAAATAATAATAATAATAATCAGAAGGGAGGGATTTAATTAAAGAGAAGAAAAGAGCTGGAAAGGCTGTATATACAAAATATCATAACTTCAGGAGTACACTATTCTAAAACATACCAACCAGAGCCTTAGAAAAGTATATTATGACAACTACAAGGTGCTTTCTTCTACCACATAGTACCCAAGACCACAAGTAAGTTGTATCTGTGTCTATTGAGTCTAAATGTTGTTAAACCCATTACTATGTTAAAGGGACACTCCAGTGCCAGGAAAACAAATTGTGTTCCTGGCACTGCAGGTCCCCTCTCCCTCCCACCCCCCCATCCCATGTTGCTGAAGGGGTGAAAACCCCTTCAGTGACTTACCTGAGACCACCGCCAATGTCCCTCAGCGGTGGTTTAGGGTTCGCCCACACTCCTCCCACGCCGGCGGGGGAGACCGATTGCGCATGCACGGCCGCCGGCGGGATGAGACCTAACGCGCATGTGCGGCAATGCCGCGCACGCGCATTATACCTCCCCATAGGAAAGCATTGAAAATGCTTTCAGTGCTTTCCTATGGGGATTTTAGCGACGCTGGAGGTCCTCACATAGCGTGAGGACCTCCAGCGACGCTATAGCACAGAAAACCTGTTCTATAGACCAGGAAGTACCCTCTAGTGGCTGTCTGATAGACAGCCACTAGAGGAGGAGTTAACCATGCAATGTAATTATTGCAGTTTATGAAAACTGCAATATTTACAGTTGCAGGGTTAAGGGTAGTGGGAGTTGGCACCCAGACCACTCCAATGGGCAGAAGTGGTCTGGGTGCCTGGAGTGTCCCTTTAATAAATACATTCTATGGACATATATATGGTTTGGTGAAGTTTTTCCGACCATGATACAGATTTTCTTCTTGTATGTTTCCCCAGAAGTACAGATTGATTTGCAGTATGTTTGTTTGAGGATTTCTGCTGAAGCATTATGGTAGTCAATACAAGCATTGGCATTTAGTGACTCATGGACTGTAACTAAAAATGGACACACATCCTATATCCAGTTTGTATTTGTAAATCCAAGGATAAACTCTGAGTAAATACATGTTATATCCTCAAACTTTGTTTTCAGCATACAGAAAACAACAGATTCTTTTAGCACTTAGTTACTGGGAAATGTGAGACATATGATTGACAGGGAGAGAGAAGCTCATCGTTGACAGAACAAGTAGAATGCTGAAGTGACAGATTGTAAGTGTTGCATGATTATTTTATATTGTGTATTTTTCTTCCTCACCAGCTGGTTGTACCTTTGAAGCGCACAGTGACATTGGTCCCTGTGAGGTGACACAGGGCACACATGATGATTTTGACTGGAGCCTCGTACAGGATCCTCGCAGAGACACTGACTTACCTCAAGGTGGGTTACAACGCAGGTAGAAGTTTACATAAAAATGGTGGTGGGATAGAGAGATATTCCTCTTTCTTTATGCTCATACTGTTTTCATTTTTGTCCACGCTTGTCTTTTCAGTTAGTAAACTTTCTGCTCTTAAATTACTTAAACGTTCACATGATTTGTTACATTACAATGAGCATATTTTTCTCACATATTTTTAGTTTATTATCTTTGTTTATAATATCCTACTTGCTCAGCCACACCCACTCTCCTCCATTCTCTCATTTGTCTTCCACCTACCCAGGTTCATATCTTGTGGTTAATTCATCCCAACATATCTCAGGAAAACGAGCTCAACTCTTGTTTCAATCATTAAGCGAGAATGACACTCACTGCCTGCAATTCAGTTACCTCCTCCACAGCAGAGATGCAAGAGGTCCAGGCACATTGCGAGCTTATGTACGTGTAAATGGGGGTCCTTTGGGCACAGCGGTGTGGGAGGTATCTGGACCCCGTGGTAGGCAGTGGCACCAGGCAGAGCTGGCTGTGAGCACCTTCTGGCCAAGCGAGTACCAGGTAAGAGACTGCAAATGCTGCTCTGCTACTATTGCACTGAGATATTATTGTTTCAGACCCGCATTATTTATACTTCTGTGGCGCTAAATCTAAAGGCTCTTTCATATTGACTCCACATACTTTATTTGCTTCAGAACCGCTCTTGCTCTATGAACAAATTCATCACTGAGCCATTTCACTTCTGAGTGATATTGTACCTCTTGGCAATTTTGGATCTATACTGTAATGTGCTTTTCTACTATACTAAATCTGTGCTCTAGTGTGATTAATATCCAGGAGAGAAACTGCGTAATAAGAAACTCTTGTGGAGAAATATATTGGTCTTTTCTGCATTGTGTGGAAAATGTGCCCCGCTGTATGAGTTTTGTTTTTCTAAGGTCACTAAGCCTAATACTCTATACCTTCTACACTAAAGGCTCCTTTACCAATTTGTGTCTCTTTCTGCTTACCAATTTCTGCACAGCAGTAATCATTTCAGTTACCTACCACCACAAAAATCGTTTTGAGTAATTTTGATGATTTATCCAGTGATTTGCCCATGTGATTGCTTCAGAGTGCTACTGTTCTTGTCTTTCTGCATCTTTACAGTGTACCACTGCACATCATTCCAGCTATGCACATCAGCAGTATTCTGTAACTAATTTAGAACTTATTGCACACAGCATTGTAATGTGTAGTTTTTCCAATCTCCATTTACAGGTGTTGTTTGAAGCTGAAGTATCAGGAACTCCACAGGGATTCATCGGATTAGATGACATTCTCCTTTTTAGTTACCCATGCTGTGAGTGTACCAGGATGAAACTTTGCCTTAGCTCCTCTGTGCACATACAGGACATACATGGACATATGCAGGGCACAGTGGAGTTACACATGGACATATACAGGGCACAGCAATCTCCTAATTTTGCTTAAACCATGAAACCACGACCTTTATGCAAACACTGCCTGCAAAAATGACTTTATCAGTTGTAGTAGATGTATGCAAGCACCCACAAATGTTTTAATTTTTTTGTGTGTGCGTATGTATATATAGTTTTGCTCCTTAAGCCCACCCTTTCTTCCCAACCTTTCAACCTGCAGAGTTTTCTTCCTTGTCAACAGTTGAAGTAAATTCCCATAATCACACCTGACAAACACTGTAAAAGAAAATTTACAGAGTTTAATTTGTGCCAAAGGCAGATGGAGTCTCTTGCATTCATTTGGCTGTTTGGTGTGTTACTCCAAGGATACCCACAAACGTTAATACATACGTACATACTGTGACGGAGCTCAGCACTTTTTCCTTCAAGGTTCCCTCTCTTTCAGCACTGGATACCTAGAGTGATTATAGCCATTAAAGCATTCCCATCCAAACACTAGTCAAGACTTAGTGAAGGGTTAATAAGAACTGGTTTATTGAGAACAAGGCACACTTTTTTACACACGATATCAACAGGGCGTCCATGGCTTGGGCAATGTAAACCCTGGATAGCTTTCTCCATCTGCCTCCTTTGGTCGAAAGGATGCTCTTGCTGCACTCACGTTATTGATTCGCCACTTGGTGGCTTGTAATGAGGGTGCTCTTCAGGGCTGTGCATGGTGAAGTACAAGGGGGAAACCAGAGAGTGTGACTTTAGCTTTTAAGTGAGAAATTGTGGTGAATGCCTCTGCATAGTGGCAGTACTGCGGTTCTGTTGCACACATACATACATACATAAACATGTTGCTCTAAGCTAGTTAAAGCTGAGTCCTCATTAACCTCATGTTCCTGTCAATATTTGTGACAGTTTGTCTGATCTGCTGTTAAATCCCCTTTTTAAAAGAGCTGTAGAATTAGCTGTTATTTAAAAGATTGAAAGTAAAGAAGAATGAGAAACTAACTATATTCCAACGTTCTGTCCTTTCCCTAATCACAGCTCAGGCTCCCCACTTTTCCCGCCTTGGGGAGGTAGAAGTGAATGCTGGGCAGAATGCCACCTTCCAGTGTCCTGCTGCAGGAAGGGCAAATGAGGGGGAAAGCTTCGTATTGCAGGTAAAGAACCAAATCATGGGAGTTCTGAACTCACTCTCATATGAATTGTGGGTGAAACCGAAAGCTGTGAATGTGGGATATAGGGCCAGTCGTGTTGCAGGATTATTTTATCAGTGACATCAGACTCTGCATGATTACTTAATTGCATGTCTTGCATTGAAAGCAGTAATCTTATCTGTTATGTGCAAGAAAAGAAAATACTAGTAGGAGGTAGTGTTATACTTCTGCGACAGCTTCCTAGGAAAATGAGTGTGCGAAGAGATTTTGTTTGCACAACCTTAAGTGAATAACCTATTCTAGATTGATGGATAAATTGTGGAGGAATTTGTGTTCATGTTCTGATGATGATACATATTAGCAATGTGGAGATATAGAGTGCTGTATGTATCTATGACAATAGTCTTAACCTTTGTTAGGTTTGCTGATTGTTTTATGTGCTTTCTGGTTCTCAGAGGCAGACTGGGGGCATCACTTCCTCTGGAATAATCCAGCATACAAGCCACTGGCGGCTCATGGCCTCTTTCCAACTGTTAGAGGCATCACAGGAGGATCAAGACTTATACCGTTGTGTAAGCTCCTCCATCCATGGCGCAGGTGTTTCCAATTTTGCAGAGCTTGTGGTGAAAGGTGAGAAAGTATATGGATCCTTTTAATATACCCTGATTGTGATTTGGGTTGGTTCTGTATATTATTACCCAGAAATCATCTTAACAGACATGTCATAGCTTGCTGTATTTTAAATTATTTCACTGTCTGCTTGTCCTGTCCCACAGAGAACTGCATCCCATTATCAGTCACTGCACACAAACTTAAATCACTGTGACTAGTTTTTAACAACATCATGCATGCATTTGCTGTAATGTATCTTGTTGCATGACTTTGAATGAATATTCCTCCTCACCTCATAGAGCCCCCAACCCCAATTGCTCCACCTCAACTTCTTCGGGCTGGACCCACCTATCTAATCGTACAGCTCAACACTCGTTCCATTACTGGGGATGGGCCAATCGTACGCAGGGAGATCGAGTACCGTGTGACTGGGGGTTCATGGCGCGAGCGGCATGCAGTCACTGCACATACGTACAAGCTGTGGCATCTGGATCCTGACTCACAATATCACGTGTCTGTGTTACTCACACGCCCTGGGGCAGGGGGCACAGGAAAGCCAGGTCCGGCTCTGGTCAGCAGAACCAAGTGCGCAGGTAGGAGGTCACTAACTTTGCTAGGGAGTATTTAATCCCATTGAAAAAGTCAGAGCAAGAAAACAAAGAGGTAAGGATAGAAAACAGCGTAATGCAATGCGGATTAACTGCATGCATTTACATAGAATATCCAGTACTTCCAAATTATACACTGACTGTACAATTCTTTAAGAGTTGGTTACTAGAGATTTGTGAATTATGAATGTATTGCTCAACCAATCAAGCACAGTAGCTCTAATTGGTTTATATCTGACTCCTCTTTCGTCTGCTGTCCTTCCAGAACCCATGCGTGCACCTAAGGGACTGTCTTGCACAGCAGAGCAACCACGTCAGATGACACTTCACTGGGAACCAGTGGGCTTCAATATCACTCGTTGTCACACCTTCTCAATGACATTGTGTTACCACTATGATTCAAGCACACTGCAGGATTGTGTGACAGCAGAGGGAGGGGTAAACCATTATACGTTGCGTGGGCTGCCCCCACACCGTGCCATTCACTGTCGCCTGGTGGTCACCAATCCTGAGGGCAGGAAAGAGGGCAAGGAGGTGATCTGCCATACACAAGAAGATGGTGAGTACACATGTCTAGTTCTCTTCTAGTTCAATCACAGAACTCTGATTCTCTGACACACTTTCTCATTCATGCATGTATACAAGTCTCTTAATTATAAAACAAGATGAATCTGATAAACTTCTTTATAGCCCCTATATATGTTCCTTTCTATTGATTTCAGTCCCTGGGGGAATTGCCTCTGAGTCCATGGTCCTCACACCTACGGATGATGCAGTCTTACTAGCTTGGGACGAACCTTTAGAGCCTAATGGGGTCCTTACACAGTATGAGGTATGTGAATGTTCATTTTATACTTGTAAAAGTAGATATAAGCTGAACAACAAAATGAGTTGCATTCATGATGCATTTAACTCATATGTTATTGAATGCATGGAAACATGGTTTAAACTTACCCATCTCCTGCTAAACATACAAAATACTAAACAATACATAAGCTGCAAGTGATGTACAGTGATTTTACATGATTGCTGTGTGTACAGATGTACAAATATGCAACCTCTCAAACTGTGCCTCTCTACACAAACTCAAAATGAATGGTAGAGATCACATTTGTAGTGATTGGTGTAAAAAGCATAGTAGTGCAATTTAAGATGAAAAACAAGTTATTTTCTCTCTTCATTTTCCCACTTTTACAGCAATCATTTACTCCTAGTAGTACCACATATATGTAAGAGTTTATTGAGTATATTTTATACTTATACTTATAAATGTTTTATAGGTATTCTATATGGCACAATAACAGGGTATTTAGCACAACACTATGTTGCCCTATTGTTTATACATTTATTCCCTAATTGTAGCCTGATAGCTGACCCATAACTATATCTGTTCACTGTCTCTATGTTGTTTATAGGGAGTAATTATGCAGGCTTTCTTTATTTTCTTTCTTTATAGATTAGTTACCAGATTATTGAATCCTCAGACCCTGGAGTAAGTGTGCCTGGCCCACGTGGTACCATCTGCAAACTACCCAATGAAACATCTCATCTCCTCACAAATCTCCACCCAGGAACCACTTACTTACTGAGTGTGAGGGCACGAAACAGTAAGGGCTATGGGCAGAGTGCTCTCACTGAGCTTACCACAAACATCTCAGGTAACTACTGCATGCTGTATTTGCTTGGTGCTTTTCCACAAGAATTTTTAACAATGAACTTTCTAGAACAGAGGTGTCCAAACTAAGGCCAAACATGGTTCTCAGCCCTGCTAAATCAGTCACAAACATCCCCTTCTTTGTGTCATTGAATCCTAGCTCTGAAACCAAAGCTTGTTAATTTGTGATATGCAGTTTGTGAATCTTAAGTCTGGTTACCACAGTAAACTGTTTACGCTCCATCTTATAGGCCAATTTGAGTGAACATTTTTTTTTTCTAAAACAAACACCTACCATGCATATCTAATGTGAGATAAAGAGTGAGACAGATGTTCAGCCCTGACCTAAAACTGATTTGACCTCCTTACTACCTACAGCTTTAACTCTGTATAAGACTTTATGGCACATTTTTTGTATCATCTTTGCTTTAGCTAAGCTGTTTTGTACAATTAAACGCATTGTAAGTTGAGAAATGTACTCTTACTTCAGAAAACAATAGTCACGCTTCTTACATTATTGCCTACACAAAAGAGTATCTTTTTATGTTTTACTGCAGATTTCTGAAGTGCATATATTTATATATTAGTATACAATATACATCTTTGGTAAACAGAACTTTGAAACTTTTATCTCATGCTAGTGCTTCACAAATAACATTTTGCTAAACCAAAGAGATAAAGAGGTACAGGATTGACCCCACCAATACTATTATATGGAAAGGAAGCATGTAAAAATCAAAGTGGTTTCTGAACAATCTATTAGGGCACAATTTTACTAGAAGAAATACAATTGATGTAAACCTATTTTATATTTCCCCCTCAATTTTACACTAACTTCTCTACAACTGAGCAGACTTTATATGTATGAAGTATGCCCCATATTACAAACATTTGTATGTGAAACAGAGTGTTTTCATGGAAAATTTCTCATACCATCGAAATGTCCAGTAAATAAAAAAAATAAATAAAAGTAAAAATAAAGAGTAGTGCCATTTGTAGAACTTGCCAATTAATTGGTTGAGCTAGCATAATGATGGGAATTGAATTATTCCCACTGGGTTTGGGTTTTTTGTCTGTAGATCAGTCCTCTTTTTGAAGAGATGGCAATATCAAGAAACTATGGATAATTCTACAATTTGCCTCTCTTCACTAATAACTAATAACAAAAAAAGGTGCTCACATACCCGTCATATTATCTGGGCTTATACTCTTCCCCATGCACACAGTCTGCAACTCTGCTTTTCTACCATTGCAGATGTCTCAGAGAAAAGCACACATAAATTCTCAATACCGACATACCAAAACTTACATTTAAAATTAAGCTTTTATTCCAAGTTAGAAAGATATTTCCAATAGCCATTGAAATAATAACACACTGTAAATTTTTCTTAAAAATATATTTAAATGCCCAACCAAATATACTACTGAATTAATATGACGGGATCGTGCTAGTAGTCCATTTATACACACCATTGTTGGCCAACAGGAATGTAGTTAAGTGAATAAGTGATTGGGCAGCCATTGCAAACCGTTTGCCATTATCCCTACAATAATAGAGACCAACCTACCAATGAATCCTTACTAACCCTGCTGTGGTTAAATGAGCACAACTACTATTTAGAATTATAGATTACACTGGCTCCTGTGCTGAAATTAGTTTTTGGTTTTTTTTCTGAACATTGGAAAAACATCATTCTGTTTACTAGACTTAAAAATACTCTTAGAATACAAGCAAAATCGAAACATCTACTTCCATATTCCACTAGTACCCTCACCACAGTTATGTTACAAGGCATTGCAAAAAAAGGGACCTGCATCTCATTGGGGTTTGAATTTAATTCATACACACACAAATTATTGCATTTTCTCATTACTATCAATGCTGAAAATAGCCAATTTTGCCTCGGGATGTACTGCTGTAACTGTAACTGCGCATTGCGCTAAAGCTTATAGGAAATTGTACACACATGCCTGTCCTTCAGGCACTATTCCTTATAAACAAAAGATTTCTGCTTTTCTGTGCAGTCTTTACATTTTAAACAGAAAGGCTAGCAGATTGTGTTCTTGCACACATTTTTGTAGTGAAGAATTAAAGCTTTTGCTTAGGTATGGGTTAGGCAGGCGTAAAAGGTTGTTGTTTTGGGCCTACTTAACTCCCTGGAGTGTATTTATTCAAAGATGGGTGATAAATTACACTAAGTTTTCTTCTATTCATTTTCTTTTTTGGCTATTAGAAAATGCATAAGTGGAGCTTTATTAGTCCAATTAGCACCTATGGAGACATCTTTTCAAAGTAATGGAAATTCATACCCTGAGGCACTTTGGGTTTGGGTAACCGTTTATAGGTGTTTTTGTTAGCTGTTTAGCAGTGTTTGTCCTTGAAGGGACAAAATGTTTAACAATACTCATAATTAAAGGCTTTTTAAGTAGGGTAGATAAGTGTAATTGTGTAGCTGAATGTGTTTTGTCTGCGTGTGTTATGCAGTCTCATTGCTTACTAATCCTATGAAATGAATCTGATCACTATCATTAAAAATAAACAGTTCCTTCTTGGAATTTTGGGTAGTGCTTCTCCTTGGAATTTGGTGGCTTTGGTCCCAGTATTCAGACATATATGTAAATATTTTCTGGTACTGTTGAAATAGATAAAGTGTTATAAACAAAAACAACTTGTAAAGAGAATAGCAACCAAAAAGTGTATCAACGCAGAAATTATTCTACAAGTGTCTAGTTTTAAAAAAAATAGGGACATAAAACAAATCTAGTTGATCCCTTGTGATTCATTGCCTGACTTAAATACTCAAACCTACGTACACACACTTTTCCATATAAGAAAATGCTGACTTTATTTGTTAAATGTTGTTATTTCGAGCAATATGTTTATCTCAAGTGGTAAATGTCTTAAAGATGAACTTTTAACATAATGTTTACTTATACCTACATTTAACACATACACTTTTTTAAAGTGTGAAAAAAAAATATGTAGAAATATGAACCTTTTTACCCTGATACTGGCTCATCCCCATCTTAGCTTCATCTAATAGTACACTAATATTTAAACCACAATAAGGAGATGGTCCACAAACCAGGTTATTCATTAAAGTTTGAATTGTCAGGAAGTGAATTCAAAGTGAATTTCAAATTGTTGCATGAGAATACAGAGAGTCTTGTGAAGCCACAACAGTATGTACGATAGCAAACATATTTGACATAGATAAACAGATTTCAAGATATTTTACTGTGAGTAATATTGCATTAAGTGGCTTTCCGATGATGTAGCACAGTTTTATAATGTAATGATAATGTTAAGCGGAAATATCCAAGTAGTTAGAGAAATAAAACATTCAAACATATAATAACTACTTATCATGGTGCATAGCTAATAACTGAGTAGTTACACTGGCTACCAATTGCTTGGGGGATTGGTATACAAGGTCAAACAGAAAAAGCAACACGGATTACTGCCTGCAGGAAGATAAAGAGCTGTGGCTACAGATATGATAAAATTAAAGGGCTCAGCCTACTCCTCTCATATAGTGAATGCTACCATGATAAAAGTAATGACACATGTCCCACTTATCTGCACCCAACCAGCCACAGGCCCCCATACAGTCCAGAGCTCTAGCTGCACAAGTGCTTTCTTGGGTGACGATCAGGATCTGGTCTCGAGACCTTCTTACAGGTTGCTGTCGGACACGATGCATGGTGATCTTCCAAGGGGGTGAGACATACATAGTGCTCTGTCTCTGTCTGGACCGTGGCCCAGGTAGGCGGTGGTCCACAGCAGAGCAGAGCCTTCGGCGCCTGAGTGTCATCCTCCGTTTCTCAAGTGTCGGTGTTGCTTTAAAGCTTTGCACGGTGTTTTGCAGCTTGGTATTATAACTTAAATGGTCAGGCTGGATGTCAGGTTCTGCTCTAGCTCTCCGAGCACGGTGCTGAATCCTGTGCCAGAACTGCACCCAAATTCTTTCAAAGGCCCGAGAGAGCAGCTGTTCTTGTGAGGTTCACAGCATGGAAACCTGCTGGGCAGTAGGCTTTTTATTGGCAGCCATCTTAGATCACCGTTAGCGGGTCAGCTCCGCACAAACTTTAGCAGATGTGAGTGGGTTGGAGCCCCAGCGGGACTGGGATAACCCCCACCAGTCCACTGGGGGTAGGGGGGAGGTGTAGGAGAGTGATAAGTCCGCTCTGCAGATTTTGTGTTCCCGGTAGCGGATTTTGTCTGTCAAAGTGTCCCGTTAGTTGTCGGCTCTCCCTCCATACTAATAATGCATAGTGGAGTGTTTTCAGGCTTATGTTCCTGGGGTTTTCGTCGAGTTTTAATTTAAAAAAGCAGGTGTCCGCTCGGCACATTTCTTGTTGGCTTGGCGGTCAAGCTTCACCCCCCCGTGAATTTAAAATTTGTGGCCAAAACAAGTACAAATTCAATTTAAATTCACTTCCTGACAATTCAAACTTTAATGAATAACCTGGTTTGTAAGCCTTCTACTTATTGTGGTTTTAATATTAGTGTATTATTAAATGTGTGTCAATGTAATCTTTCCCTGATGTATTGTGTGAGGATAACAAAAACACAGCTAACTGGAGAATGATATGGTATTTCAGCTATTTCAGTCTAAACTTTTACTTTTTAAATTTGTATATAATTCCCAGAAATTCACACTTTACTGAATAGACCTGTTTGCCTGAAAAACACAATCACTTCTACTTGGAATGGTGACTTCCTGCTTCTGGGCTCTTAGTAGTGGGAGATTGCATAGATCTTCCAGAAGAATAAATCCAGTTCTTTGAACTCACTTACTTGTTTTCTTTTGTTTTTGGGGCTATACATTTTCTGTGGTGTTTATAATTCAAAAGGTCAGAGGCATTAAGATCTGGAAGATGTTTGACTTGTTGTTTAGCTGTGTATAGAAGGCTATCTTACACCATTTGGGAATTATGACAGAGCAATGTTTGCACATTGGGTTCGCCTTGTCTTAAAATGGCCTTTGTTGTGGGCTGTTCTGCAATCATTGGCCTAACTGACTCCCATTTAATGGCTGCCATGTTATTCGCTATCATTATTTTTGTGATGGTGCCCCTTGACATGTTAAAGCATTTTGCAATTTTTGTTACCGAAGCATCTGCAATTAAGCACGTAAATGCATAACTTCACCTAAGGCATCATGGGGTGGCAAAGTCACTCTGAAACTAGTGCAGTGGAGATGAATATGTTTTTTTTTTCTCACTTACCTCCACAGCACTCATTAGTCTACTAAACACTTTAATAGCGTTTACTGGGGTGAGGGAACAAGGAACCAGCAGTTGTCCGGTAAAGAGCAAATTATATTTTGGTAGGTGTGTATTATTATATTATTATGACATGGTTTGTATTTTAACCGACCAGTGTCCTGCCTGTTATTCCTTTCAATTAGGAAATACTACATATGTTCTTTTGTCACCAGCATTAGCAATACACAATAATCTTTGATAGTTATACTGTGGTCTTTGCACACATAGAAAATAGTTTAGGAGCTGAATTAGAATGTGGTCGTGAGCTGTGGAATTAAGCTAGATATTTAACGTATTTTGAATGTCCTGGAAAGTAATGTTTAACTGTAGTTTTTGAGTCAGGAGGCAGAAATAGCACGTTGTTTAATGAAAAAAAACAAAAACATTTTGGCTCTATAGAAAAATGTAAACAAAAATAACAAAAAAATAATTTACCAAATAATGAATTTATGGATAACAAAACCAGTGTTGTAAATAAACACCTCTAACATTTCTGAATATGTAACATTGACATCTTCCTACACATATTCTATAATCGTATATACACTGATCAGCCACAACATTAAAACCACTGACAGGTGAAGTGAAAAACATTGATTATATGGTTACAATGGGACCTGTCAAGTGGTGGGATATAGCAGGCAGCTTGTGTACAGTCAATTCTTGAATTTCATGTGTTGGAAGCAGAAAAAATGGGCAAGTGACATTGACAAGGGCCAAATCATGATAGCTAGACGAGCTAGAGGAGCCAGAGCATCTCCAAAACAGCAAGTTGTTGGGTGTTCCCAGTATGCAGTGGTTAGTACCTAACAAAAGTGGTGCAAGGAAGAACAACCAGTGAATTAGTGTCAGGGTCATGGGCGCCCAAGACACATTGATTCACATGGGGAGCGAAGGCTAATCTGTCAGTCCGATCACACAGAAGAGCTACTGCAGCTGGCCATAATAGAAAGGTGTCAGAAAACACAGTGCATCTTATTTTGCTACATACGGGGCTGCATACTGGCCAGAGTGCCCATGATGATCTCTTTCCACAGCACCTTTCATGGGGAAGTGAGTATCAGGACTGGACCATGGAGCAATGGAAGGAGGTTGCCTGGTCTGATGAATCATGTTTTCTTTTAGATTAGGTGGATGGCCACGTGTGTGTGTATTGTACCTGCGGTGGAGCTGGCAGCAGGATGCACTATGGGAAGAAGGCAGGCCGGAGGAGGCAGTGTTATGCTCTGGGCAATATTCTGCTGGGAAATCTTGGGTTCTGACATTCATGTTAATGTTACTTTGGCGTGTACCACCTACCTAGTGGTTGTTATAGACTACATACACTTTTATGCAATGGTGTTCCATAATGGCATTGGCCCCTTTCAGCTGGATAGCGCATCCTTCCACACTCCACAAATTGTTCAGGAATAGTTTGAGAAACATCACAAAAAGCTCAAGGTGTTTCCTTGGTCTCCGACTGCCCCAGATCACAATCTGATTGAGCATCCGTGTGATGTGCTGGTACAACAAATCTGACCCATAGAGGTCCCACCTCACAACTTGCAGGACTTGCTGCTAATGTCTTGGTGCCAACTATGGTTGCTGACTCCTGCCCTAGACACTTATACATACTCTCTACAACCACTAGACACACACACACAATATATGTATGCAAAAACACACCACACTATAAGCCCTATGCACACATAGTACATCACAAAAGGGGCATCATACTAATATACTTGTTTTTGAGGGTCTGCATGTCATTACTGATGACATAACATAGCCCCTCTTCTAACCTGCCCCTCCTATTGGGCAGCATTGCCATTAGATGGTATATATCATGTTTCATGCAGCCATGTTGCCTCTTTGGGCACTTATACATACACCCACACACAAATATGCAAATTCTGATAAATGCACACATACACACAACTGATACATGAGGGAGCATCGGAAGTGATCATCACTCAGCGGAGGTGTAGACTTGATGCTCACTTACACTTGCAAGACAGCAGGCAGCTAGTGAAGAGATTGTTTGATTCCATCACCAGCCTGAACAGATGCAGCGCAACCCACAAAGCTGGCACTCTAATAGTAGCACCGACTCTGTTTACCACTGGGGCAGACAGCGTTCATGCACCTGATCTATTTCAAATGCCAGTGGTTGTCGTGTGTGCACAATCCTGAGTAATGGGAACATATCTTCGGTGTATAAACAAATTGCATAATGAAGGGGATAACAATAAAAAATAAAAATGCAAAATGTAAAAAATCTTTCAGAAACTAATCATGGCGAGCATTCTGTAAGAGATTTTCAAAAGGAAATCAGAAATCATATTTCCAGGACAAATTATGAAAGCCTGCAAGGTTTACAGTGCAGATAATTTGAGCAAAGACATGCTAGTGATGAAACACATTCTATATGAACGTTGGGTGGCTATTGAGAAAAAGAAACATTCAGCATTTTCTATAGTCCATCAGGTCTTTTTTTTATATGACCTGCCATTGATTATACTGTCTTGTATACTATTTTGGTGAATGAAGTTTGTATTAAATGTCTACTTCTCAATTACTGCAAATGCTGGCTTGCGTGTGACTGAGGTCAAGAAAGGCCATGATGAATGTATACCTTTTTATTCCTCCCTTGTGCACTTATGAGCCTTTTATAGCAGCATGTTCCTGCTGTTCATACATACTATCCAATGCATAAATATGCCTGTCTGTAATGATGCTGTGACATAAGTGACCTTATTTAATTCAATGTAAAATCTTAGACTGACCACCGCAACTGAATTATTGTTGGACATTTCATAGACCTCATTTCAAAGTCCAATTGCCAGCAAATAGATGAGAGGTCAAGTACTCACTCACAGATTTTTTTTCCATTTTAGCACCTGCTTTTGATTACAGTGACCTTCCTCCCCCACTGGCTGAAACTGACCATACCATCACAGTACTTCTGAGGCCAGCTCAGGGCAGGGGATCCCCTGTCAGGTTAGTTTTGCCCTATAAAGCTCTTCTTATTGGGGTAATATAACCCTCTACTTATGTTCCTCGAAATAATTCAAGTATTTTTTTATTCATAACATTCCCCATTTTAGTTTTTACCAGGTGCTGGTGGAAGGTGAGACTTCCCGTCGTTCTCGACGTGAGCTAGGAATCCCTGGCTGTTTCCCTGGGGCATATGGATATGAAGAGGCTGAAACAGAGGGTGCCACTCAATATGTTGGGGCGGAATTGCCACCAAGTGACCTATCTCATGACACACCATTTATTGTTGGGGACAACCGAAGCTATGGAGGCTACTGGAATCCACCCTTAGATTCCCGTAGAGGCTACCTAATCTACCTGCAGGCTGCTAGCCACCACCGGGGGGTGAGCGAGAAGAGCTGTAAAGTGAGAAATGAGCAGAGCAAAGAAAGTAAAATTTCTGTAGAAGCAATAGTGTGATTAGAATAAAGGGGCAGTGGTAAAACTCATTTGCTCCCCATCACTAAAGTTTCTTTAGAGCTAATGATTTATGTAAATAATGATGCAGTCAAACATTGCCAATTTGGGCAGATGTGTTCAGCAATAAAATTTACTCTGCTTGTTTTTCTTATTGGTATAATATGTTTATTTAATCAAAATCTCGTTATTTGTCCTTTATATATATATATATATATATATATATATATATATATATATATTATATATAAATATTTATATATTTATTTATTTTCTCTTTTTTTTGCCATTTTGCCAATCTGCTGTTTTTTATAAAAAAAATATTCTGTCCTTTGTACAATACAATCTCTAATGGATGCCTATAAATCCAATGTGCAGGACATGTTTATGTTGGACTCTGGGAGCACGTGATATTTTTATTTAGTGCTGTCCATTCAAGACATTAAGGGAAAGCAGGTGAAGAAAGTTTGACATTTATTACTCTCTCTCCTATAGGAAACACGTTTGAATTGTGTTCGAATTGCCAGGAAAGGTACATATATTATCCATTCTAATTATGAATGAATCTCTACTCATTATTTTCTGTTTCTTATTTTCCACTCTGCATTTTTTCACATTACTACCAATTGTTTATTTTCTTTTCCTTTTTTTATACCTTTTTTCCATTTTGTTATTTGTCTTCCCTATTCTACCAACTTTGTCTATAATTTACTTGCTAAATATTACTTTGTTTTCCATCCATACATTATTGTGTAGCTTTCTTCCCATTTTTTTCCCATTGTCAACCCCCTTGTCCCCTTGTTGGATTATTTCCTTTCCCGAGTTTTCCTACTGTTTAGTTACTTGCTCTAAGTACCCTAACTTACTGTCTATTTAAAATGTTCTTATCTTTTCCTCAGCTCCATGTAAGGACAGCCACCGCTCCTCTGTGGCCCCCCAGCGTTCTGAGGAGATGGGGCTGGTGCTGGGAATCTGTGCTGGGGGTCTGGTAGTGTTCATCGTTCTTCTGGGGGCAGTTATTATCGTGGTCCGAAAGGGGTAGGTGGAAGTTTTGCCAATGCAAATGGGAAGGATAATAACTGGGTACCCAACTACCAATAAGTATATACAGTATTTGGCACACTCTTCTTATCTCTTGCTGTCAGGTTCAATTGTTCTACAAGTTTTGTTATGGTGTATTTTCTTCACTTTTCTGCATGTCATTGGTTTATGACTGTCTGTTATCAACAGTCTCTTGTTGTTAGGATGTGATGTTCCAAGTTTCTAAACTGTCAGCTTATGATGTGCATTTTTTTGTTGTCAGGGTATGATGTTCTACAAGTTTTTTGTAAGGTTGTTATATTCTGCATTTTTGTTGTCAGGGTGTAATGTTCTTCAGTTCTTATGCTTTCCTCCTTTTCTCTCTGGCTGCCAGAAGAACACAGTTCTCTTATGCTTACTACCCGTAAGTACATAAGCCCAGCATAAATATAAATTGAACAGAGCTTGGGGGCATAGCATGCTCCACCTCTCCAGGATGAGTAAGTCATCAAAGAGCTCTGACCATTATGACTTTACTTTCCAAGGCAGACTTTCTTTTCCAAGCCATAAAAAAACAAAGGGACTATTATATCAGTGAGTTTTGTACTGCAATGCAGTTTGAAGGACTCAAGAAACTTTGAGTTTGTCCCTTCCCCTTCACAGGTTTATAGACAGTAATCAACTCCCAGAATATTGAAAAATCTCAACCCCATCCTTTTGATTTCACAGGAAGCCATTGAGTCTGACTAAGTCAGCGCTACCAACAAGACATGAGAAGACCAGCGTTGTTGGACCCAGAGAACACGCCAAGATCACTGATCAGCCCACTCTGCTTCAGGAGGAAGCAGCTCTTGCATTCCTTCACAATTATAACAACCGAGGTGAGTATAGGGTTTATGGAGAACCCTAGTTTAAACAGGGTCAGAAATAGATTACTGTTAACTAGTGCTACGAATAAATCACTTTTAGCTTGTAAAGGCTAGTGGATGGTAGCTGGTTCTATAGGCATAGGATCTAACTATTAAACTCCACAATAAATGAATGAAGCTTTTAAGCATATGAGTTTCCTAGAAGTGGTATGGTTCACAACATTTAGAAAGGTATACATAAGTATACATAAAAAAATCACAAAACATCCCCCTCTACTAAACCACGGCACCCCCATCTACTAAATCCCAGTACCCCCTCTCTACTAAATCCCAGTCCCCCCTCTACTAAATCCCAGTCCCCCCATATACTAAATCCCAGTCCTCCCCCTCTACTAAATCCCAGCACCCCCCTCTAGCCAACAAGCAGACTCCACTCACATTGCCACTGCCAGTATGTAACTCCGGAGTCTGGCCTCTGGTATACCCCAAATTGCGCCATCTGCACCCTGTGCCAAATCTGATCCTCCCGCTACTTCTTGAAACCCTGTGAAGATGGAGCACGTCGATGTCACGTCGGAATGTGATGTGGCGTTGCGTGCCTCCATGCACCTCCAGGTACTCCACTATCCAGTCGCAGCCAATGCAACACTGACCAACACACACACTCACGGACAGACACACACAGACACTGACAGATGCACACTCTCAGACAGACACACACTCACTGACAGACACACTCACTGACACACACAGACAGACACACTCACTGACAGAAACTCACTGACAGATACACACACACTCACTGACACACACACTCACTGACAGACACATACAGACAGACACTCACAGACAGACACTCACAGATAGACACACACTCACTCACTGACAGACACACACACACTCACAGACAGACACATACACACACACTGACAGACAGACACACACATTCTTGCACACACATCATTTTCTTTATTGCTCCCTACCTTTGGGAGCCAATGTGGGGCCTCTCCCTTGGGTCCAGTGGGGATCTTCTACCTGCTCCTCACTGCTCCGGTTTAGTGATGCCGGGTGCTGGAATATGACGTCATATCCCGGCGCCCGGCTTTACTGCAGACGAGGAGCAGGAACACTGAGCTTCCTCGCTGGCTCTCCTCCCCAGCCGGGTAAGTTTTAGCAGAGTATGCACCTGCAATGTGGGGAAAGCAGGTGCCTACTCTGCTATAACACTAAGCATGTACTCACGGCTCGCCGGGCGGCAAAGATGTCCATGACATGTTGAGTTATATGGATGATAAACTGGCTTGAGCATGAATGCTCATATCAATCTTTCGTTTTACAATTAAACAAGTTTTGTAATAGGAAGGAAATGCTTTACTGTATTCCAAGTTTACCCCTAGATTGCAATATAATGGGTACAATAACTGCATTCTGTGAACAAAATGGGCAAAGAATATTAAGATCAAATTGACCTCCAAAATGCACGTCAAAGCAACTGGGGACTGAAAAAAGACCACAATTGCTATTTGATCAACAGTCACATTCCTTCACCGCCCACAACACCTCCCCACACAATTTGTTTAGTTGACTGGATGGTTATATTCAAGGGTTTAAATTCACTTTTATCCATGACATGGTCCTACAGCACATAATTCCCACTAATCTCACCTGCAGGTCACAGTCATGTCACCCACCTATTTTGGTGTTGGATGCACTCAGAAGCATGATTGAAATTTCCCTACATGCATGTCAGTGTGGAGTCAGTTATGCATGTGCCATGTTCTTAGTACTGAAGTAATGGCTAGTAAAACACAGACTCTCAAGTGGGTTCATAGAAGGTCATCAGTGATGCATGTAAATGTACAAGCTTTTCAAATCTTTTCATCACATATATCATTACATGACCAATCCTATAAAACCTCTAGAGATGGGCTGTCCTTTGCTCAATTGTCCTAATGTCCTTCTTTCTGCATCCAAGCAATTCCTAGCATCTCTTTCCTTGTTCTAATTTCTTACTTCAAACTTTATCCTAACTCTCCATCTTCACCACCCTCATCTGCTGGCTGCCTTAACGACAGACTGTATGACCAAGTATCTTGCTTCCTCCTCGTTTGGACAGTACCTCAGAGGTTTGTACAATTTTTGGCCTCTATAATCCATGACTGAATTATAAAGTGTTGTTCCCCCTCTCTATGTGACTCTTGAATCCAGTTTCAGGTTTGACTGGCATACATGAAAAATTGATTCCACTCAAAGTAGAGTTAATACAAAGCTATAAAAAAATGTATTCTTAATTATTACAAAAAAATACTTAACAAAATTAATGAAAAGATTAGTAAAGTATAGTGCCACTATTACAAGCTCATGGGGGGATAAACAACTCTTCCTCAACAACCTCAATTCGATTTTACTGTACTTCACTTGTAGTTAGGTGGTCTTAAATTATTATTTTTATTAATACAGATATTAGACAATTACACAACACCATAACTAAAATAATATTTAGTATACCTCCTTTCAATGTGAATAAGGTAAAAATATAAATAATAATTAAAGAACATTCTCTCTTGTACAAAAGCAGATTTTAAAAGAATGGAATGATATTGCTATCTGGGTCACAGTTTCAACCTGAAAAGTTGCAAAGTCAAATCTCAACTATTTTATTATGGTATTAAAGTAAAGGACCATATTAAAATATTTTGCCCTAATTGTCTACTCAGGTGAACCTAGAGCTGGATCTGTTACAGAATCAAGCAGTCTTCTTGGAGGGTCCCCACGGCGAAATGGAGGCAGAAAAGGTTCTCCCTACCACACAGGACAGTTACACCCAGCAGTAAGAGTGGCAGATCTGCTTCAACATATAAATCAAATGAAGGTGGCCGAAGGCTATGGATTCAGGCAGGAGTATGAAGTGAGTCTTGTACTCTTTACTTGATAATTCTGATATGGTTATTTCATGTGCAGGCATATTACTCACTATGTTTTATTACTTGCTATGTTTTATTTAAAGTTCAAAATGATTGATATTTTTTTTCCTTTGTTGTATTTTACTAGCTCTGTAAACAGTATGTGTATTGACCTTGTAAAATATCTTCATGCGCGTTTTATATGTTTAGTTGCCTTTTTTCATATTTTGATGCCTGCCTCAGATGTTGATTTACAAAGTTGACCAAAAAGAGAGAAAGAAACCGCGTCCTAAATCAAATATACGTACATTCAGAGTATTTTTGGGATTATAACATACTGCACTATTGGAGTTTCTCTTTATGTCTTTCACATTGCCGTACCACTGGAGATATCTGCTTCTACATATATCCTTAGACAGGGATTGTTCCGTCCATGTGAATTACGGTAGAGCTCCTGGCTAGCTCTACCAAATGTGAGTGTAAATTATCTCAATTTACTCAAATACCTCTCCTAGTTTTTTAACTATACTGCACCATTGTGTTTTCTCTCTGTTTTTATTTTTGAGGATATATGAAAATTGTTCAAAGAAAAATACTCTGAATGCACGTATATTTGATTTAGGGCGCGGTTCCTTTCTCTCTTTTTGGTCGAACTGTTTGTTTACAAGGTTGGGAATCCTTGTATTGGTTACTGCTGCCCACTAACTTCTTTCTCTTAATTGGAGTGAGCACCTACCATACTCTTTTCTATAGTTGATTTACAAAGGACTGAGTTTGATTGTCCACAAATAACCTTTAGAGAGTTTTTATTTTTGGAATACCAGGATATTATTCATGGCCCAAACTGCCAGGGTCCGCACATCTTTAAGCCGTTTGACACTTGTGTTCCTCTTCCAGAGTTTCTTTGACTGGGATGTGTCTAAGAAGAAGGACAAAGGGAAAGGAAGACAGGAGGCACCACCAAATTGTAGGTGATCAAAGAGTGAGAGTCTGGCACTAGTAGTATGTTTTTCATTACTGTGCTATCCTATCCTTTGTATAAATGTCATAATAGAAAAGTGTTTGGGTCATGGCATTATATTAGAAGAACTTCTTTTAATTTCAGATGAGCGGCACCGTGTCAGGCTTCACCCTTTGCAAGCAGATAACAGCACAGAAGAGATTAATGCTAACTACATTGATGTGAGTATGCACAAGAATAAATAGCCCATATAATTAATCTGTGTATTGTAAATTAACGTACATTTAATTAGGAAGGAACATGCTATCTATGGCTCATAATGATGATGAGTACCTTTACTCCACCAAAGAGCATATTGCATTATGTTCCTGAATATATCTGCAAGGGTAGTGAATATATTTTATGATGATACTTAGTATCTACAAGATTGATAGTGCATGTGTTGTATTGCATATTGAAGTGAAGTTTAATACACAAGCTGAACATGGATGTCATGATGCTGAGTATTTACACAATGACAATATACATTCTTCACTGTATAATTGCTGAATGACTATAAATTCCCAATATACACACTGTATTAAAGAGTAATGCTGAGTGTCTGCTCTTATATAATAATTATGTGATGCACTGCATTATGATACTGGATATCTAGACACTGTTAGTGAAAATGTCATATTCTACATGTTGATTTCTATAATGGTGCTGTATCTGTGTGCTGGTAATAAACATATATAACTTTGCTATTATACACCAGCTTGATATTTTATGATGAATTGTAGGCAGTTGAAGATAATGCTTAATTCTGCCCAGAGTTATCCAAATACATTTTCTATACTAAGTAAAATGTTTGGAGTTGTCAGATCTATCCTCCATATATAGTTATTGTATAGAGACATCTTTCAAATGATTGACTGATGCATTGTCTGTGCGGCACCGGGCTGGATTTTGAGAAGTGTTGCTAGTTCCATTGAGATGATTTTTGGAGAACCAATGGTAAAATTGTTCCTAACGTTTTCTTGTGTAAGAAGAAGATTTGTTGATATTTTTTTGCTGACTTTTCACTTGGAGCATGTCTATGCAATCTAAATCATTGGGCTAGGGCAGTGATGGCTAAACGTGGCCACCATAGAAATCTGGGAGCTACATTTTCTGTGTTGATTGGCTGCCCGGGTATCGTGGATTGTGAAGTTTAGAATGTTCTGGAATGACGATTTTAGCCATCAGTAGAGTAGAGGATGCATAGTTTTTGGAGAATAGTTCAGTCTGAAAGTGGAGACTAGTGAAAATGCAAAACAACTGCCAGAATCAAGTATAGATTGAAGGAATGGCGTAATTCAGCTAATTCATGGTGACTTATTGATCACATGGCTATGAAAACACAGTTTTGAAAAGCCAATAACATAACGATTGGAGACATTAGACGTCTGTTGAGTAAAATGAAGAGAGCTGAAATTGATAATCAGTGAAATAGATATATAAAGTTATTGGCATTGCATGATACATGTAAATGGACAATTCATTTATGTCATTATTACATTATTGACATTGATAAAGAAATATGCCTATATGTGATACATAGTCTTATGGGAGATAGTCATAAGGGATCTTTATGTGTATTGACCTTGTAAAATAAAATATGTGATGGTAATAAAAAACAATGTTAATAGGATTGCTATAAGCCAACACATATTGTTGAAGCTAAAGACATCCAACTTATAATACAAGCGGGGATAAAATGCTCAATTAAGCCAAGTTTTAATGATGATAGATTTTAACGAGCAGTAAATTGATTGGCAATGTGAGACTTGACACACAGCCAACAAAAAAGGGTTTTCTACATATTGCAAAACAACTACATGCATATTATAGAGATAAAAAAAAAAAATACAACTAACAAAAAAGCTAATTGCAAAGGTAGCCTTTGCTAAGTATGGGGTTTAGATGCTAGAATCACCCTTGTTAGATATGCCTACATTATAAGAAGATGTTTGATTAAAACCATAGAATTCATCTGACTTTGTCCTAAGTATTAAATTACACATTGAACAAACAAACCGAGATTAGAATCATCTCAACATAACAACATAATATAGTTTGTCATACATACTAATGTATCCCTGAGCTCTAGGTAAGTAATGCAAACATGCAGTTTAAACATAATGTAAACTAATTAAAGCAACTGAAGATACAGAAAGGAAGGAACTTGCTTTTTGTATTCAGTAGACTGTTGAAAGATACATTTTAAGGAATGCAATTACATTTAATGTTTGTTTTGACGTAGATCTGTGCAAATAAAAAATATCAAATAGATGGCAGACATATCAAATAGGACATTTCACTATTAAAGGCTTGGGAGGGTAGGGACAACCAGTAAATGTTCATTACACTCCATAGAATTAACTGGTGCTTTATCTAAAGGCAGGTGAAGAATAGAACCATCAAAAAATATTTTGATTGACAATGAACTTTTCATTAACAAAGAGAACAGCAGAGTGACTAAAGCATGGCGGCTAAAGACTGCAAACACAAATTTAGTTTATCACTTTTAAATAAAGGGTTTCCTTATTTGCTCAGGCATAGGCTATGTAGCTAACAGTAAGTGGTGACATTTAAAATCACCTTAGGAATTATAAATTCATAACTTGACATGACATTCGCAGGGGGGAGCTTTTAATGGGTTATTAAAATGTAGTATTCAAAAATACCCATGGCTTTAGGACCAGCTTTTGTGTGATTACTGTTGCCAAAGCCATTTGCTTTCTTAAACAGTCAAAACATGAAGACAAGGCAAATGTAGTGGAAACAGAGTGTCTTCTTAGATTTTGTTAACGCTTTTGATGCAAAACTACACAGAATGTTACTGTAAAAAGGATTAGATACAGACAAGATTATTGGAATCAGTATGTAATGATCTGACAACCCTAAACTGAATAGAAAGCAGCTTAAAGAATAGACTGCAGAGGGTCTATATGGGGTACTTTGAAATTGAACAGTTCAGCCTTGTACTCCCTTCTTTTAATATGTTAATTTTAAACCTTAAAAGAAATTGTGTTTATTAACATAATAAAAAAATCGAGGCACAATGTTCATTCAACCCAGATGTATATTTAGACAATGGTAGGAGAGTTCAAGTTAATAAATGTCAAATCTTTTTCTACCTTTCTAAATGTAAGGTTATACATCAATGAAAAAGAATATTTGACTTTCCTTGCTGGCAGAAGGCTACACAGACGTAATCAGTGTGATAAAGGAACAATACTGAAAGCCTATCATTCATCTTTTATAAAAAATGGTGTAGATAGATAATGTGTGCGTGTTTTTACCAATTTATCATTTTCCCTTACTGACCTAGGAAACATCCTGCTAAACCATCCACAAACTTTAACTCTCTCAATACCATGTGTATGCAATTTCCATGTAGTTCAGGTTACTGTTGTATCTCCTTTCTCCCCAGTTTTAGCCTTTTCTGCCTCTCGAATTCTTAATTCTCGTCATTACCATTCCACAATTACTATACCTATGGCTCGACAATACTTCATTTATGTCTTAATTATACTTCCTCTTTTATTATTTCTCATCTAGCATCTTATTTCCCTATACATCATTATTTATTCCCACTAATAATAATTAATTCTTTGTGCCCCCATTTTTCTCTTCATTCTACTTACTATCTTTATCCTTGCATATATCTCATCCTACAATAATACTTTTTACCCATATTACTATGTGATCCACCATATCATTACCCCTTTATTTCCTTAATGATATTACCCTTCTTTTGCCCCGCTTTCATATCATTATTTTACTTGTCCAATTCATTTACATTTTTATTCTGGCATATGTGTTCCTTCTCAAATTACTGTTGTGCATTTGTGCTTGAATACAGTCCATTTGGGTTTTGCACAGCTATCCTTCTACCTGTAAAAATCCATTGGTTATATAGTATTACATTGTTCATGTAAATGTGCTTGGCTCATGCTCAGTGGATCAGAATGATCCTAGACTTTCCACATTAGAATGTTGGACAGCATTGCTTTATATCACTAATCCTACCACTCTCCATAGTGTTATTGAGCTCATCCCTGGTTTTAATTCTTCAACCCCAACACCATATAGATTTCATGGTGTATCTTTAATATTACTTGACACCAATTCAAAATCTTATCTCTTTATCACTCAGTTATACATTTCACATATTGCATTTATGTGTTACCATTTGTGGTTATTTATTTGTCAATGAAAATAAAGCACAACTGACTTTAGTGCCACAGATGCCAACATCCGTAATTGAAAGTCATTTGTGTTGGATGCTTTTGAAGTTTCATGATTGGTTCACAGATGTTACAAGTACATACTATCAATTGTTCATCCTTTGCAGCCAAAAGTACTCAAAATAAATACAATTGGAATCTCACTCTTAGTGGTTGGCATACAACATAGGAGGACTAAAACATATTAAGTACCCAGTAGTGCTGGCTTGATTTTATATTGCCAGAAGAATTTGGCAAGTATGTAATGTGTAATTAATTACTATAGTAACAATTGATTCATTTTTTTTGTAGCCCTTCTTGTCAGATCAGGTATATTTCTTACATCCCATGATTCTTATAATTTATGTTTTACTGGGCTGGTAAAAATAATGGGGATTTAAAAAAAAAAAATGAAATTACATTTCATCATTTATTTTATTATTTATCGAATTCACCTCTTCCAAGCATGCCAATTAAGTTTTTAATACTGGCTTTCTTTGGTAAAGCCATGTTGCAGTGACAACATGTACATCGTAATTTCTAATCAGTCTCTATCTGCCTGCTTCCTATATTGACAATGCAATCTATAGAGTGCAGTGTATGGGTGCTGAGAATATCTATATATCTCTACAATTACTCTGCTCTTTTTATTTCTGCTAATACATCTTTATTCTTTCTTTTCTCTGTTTTTTCTCCCTCACTGCCAAATCTTTTCACCCCTTTCTCATTATATCAACGTATATTATTTTTTCCGATCTCCCTAATTAATTCTGTTTCTTTACCATCTCTTCACGTTCATATTTTCTCCTATACTTTTGTTCTTTTGTCCCTTTTATCTCACTCTGTCTTCTCTCTTTTTTATTTTCTCTCATCTCTCTAACTTTCGCTCCCTCCCTCTCTTTCTTTCTCTTACTATATGTGGGATCACCTGTAGATCCGGATTAACAGAGAAGTGAGTATCAAGCTTCTGGTCATATTTCCCACACCCCTCCCACCCAGGTGCTTTATTGCCCTTGGAGTACTTCTAGAAAAAAGATATGTGGCATAAGCCAACCAGTATCCTCTATCCACAGGAACTGTCAGCAATTCAGCAGTGTAAAAGGCCGAAGCTGTTGTCATTGGTAATCCCACCACTTCATTAGCCTTGCCATATTCAGTTCATATATATATTTTTCTTACATGTTGTATCTTTCTGCTTTTCTAGCCCTACATTTTCATCAGTCATTTAATCATCACCCTCTACGCTACTCTTTTTGTTTACTGTTATCCTCCACATTGTTTCATGTGACATCCCAGATGTAATCCTCTGTGTTAATTTTTTCCCTTATTTTATATCATGTCACTCTCTACAGTACCCCTTCCATCTGTACAGCTCCCTCTTCTCCACTCACATTGCTCATTATGACTGTATTCGTTGGATTCCTTATCATTTATCTTATAGTTACCTTTGTTTATCCTCTGTGCATTTCCATCTATATTCATCTATGTTCATTAGCTATCTATTCTAGACTTTGCTTTCTTCCCTTTCTTCCTCTTGGTGTCTGTCCTTTGCTGACACACTTCTCATGTTCCATTTTTCTCATACTTGTCTTTCTTACGGTTATCGCCAATATTCTTTCGTATATGCATTCTTTTACTCATTCTTCTGTCACCCTTACCCTTTTTTGCCTTGCTCCTTCTTTCCTAGAACAAAACGCAAAATTAATAACTGTGTAACAGTCTCAGACCATTTAATTTTATATTCACAAAACCCCTATACTACCCTCAGCATTATTTAATATCCTTAGAATGTTAAAACCAATTGCCTTTCCATAGACGATATACCACGAATCCACTACAGTTATCAAAAGGGCCTACAACCCAACAAAACGTAAAAAAGTAAACGTTTCTCTCTTGTTCCCACTTTCACTCCATTTTTACAAACTTGATAAACCTCTATACCTTTTATCTATATTCTACTGGAAATATTGCATGACAGTATGCGGAGCGTATGTACCTTTTAACCCTAAATCTTTCCCTCCTCTCCTCTCCCCTTCTCTTTCTTTCTGTGGTATCACCATGATTGCAATGCATGCCCTGAATTGTCTGATCTTTCAACAGTCAGTATATTTACATGTGTTCCATTTATACTCTATAGGGTTATCACAGGTCCAATCATTTTATCGCTACACAAGGTGAGCAACTGTTTGAGAGTACCATTAAATGGTTAACAAGCTTAACAATTAAAAAGTGTGTCATGCTATCACATTACTATCCGAAATAGACTCTTTTTTTTTTTTCTTCTGTTTATGCAAAGTAAAATTTCACACATGTATAAAACACCTGTTCAAGATTACCCAAGATGCATAATCTTGGAGAATGTCAACTGTAGGAGGAATTGTTATATACAAAGAATGCACAGGCAATGTGATGCTTTGGTACAGGACTTAAATATGCATACCTACACACAAGCTGCCACTTACTTAATAGCATGTATCTATAGTGATGTTATAAAATAAATAATTGGATTACAGTTCTTGTAGTCACTTCATTGTACCTGCCATGTTAATGGATCATTCTTTTGACAATTAAGGTCCTAAGCAAGACATGATCTATGATTTCTGGCGAATGGTTTGGCAGGAACACTGCTCTAGTATAGTGATGATCACCAAACTGGTAGAAGTTGGAAGGGTAAGTCATAACTGGAAGTGATGATACTGTATCTGTGTAGGGATAGTAGATGTCATGACTGTTGATATGAATTATGAAGAGTTAGAAAGAGATGTCATTATGAGATATAGATAGTAAGCTCGTTTGAGCAGGGTCCTCTTCACCTCTTGGTTATTTCCACATCATTTTATTGCTTAAATGACCTGCTGCTGTGTATTTATTTTGCAAACTGCAGCTTAACCCCTTAAGGACCAAACTTCTGGAATAAAAGAGAATCATGACATGTCACACATGTCATGTGTCCTTAAGGGGTTAAACTATAAACTAAACTATCACTTTGTAATAAAATGCAGAATATTTACTAAGCTGTGATGACAAATAATCTCAGGTTTTGTGTTTTCAGATATTTATATTACTCTTTACCTCTCCCTTCAACTTGACATCTAATATAGATTTTGTTGTCTATCTAAAAATATAAACTGCTTTCATGAATTTCACACACACACATATAGAAGGATCAAACTGACTTGAATGTCGAAACAACCTTGACCGTGAGAAATCAATAGAGCATAAAAATCATTAGCTGAACAGCCAATAAAATCCCCAGGAAGCGATGCCCAATAAGTGTCTAGCCAGGTACATCAGTACTAGGCTTAGTTTACACTAGAAACACAGTTTTTCTCTGTATCTCCTAACAATCCCCCTCCCCTCTCCCAGCAACACAGTTAGAAAGATTTGATGTTTTCTTTCAATTGTAGTTCCCCCCCCCCCCTTTCTTGATCACTTTACTTGATGCATGCTTGTTTTTTTCACCTCCCAAATCACATCTGCTCCTTCTTTGTGATTTCACAGGACTTGCTGTTCCCATATGTTGCTTAGATTCCAGTCTTAACCACTCTCAGCTTGGTTATTTGTCAGTTCAGGTGATTTTCTCTGATCTTTCTTCACAAAATTGCGCCTGGCTACATTCGCAGCTGAGAAACTGAAGTATTGGATACTGGGGGGACTGGCCTGCAATCCATTTTTCTTTCCTTTTTTTTTTATTTTGAAATTAGTTTTCATGCTCAGCTGCTGGACGTGAATCAATTAAATTTGTTTTCTTTGGATAGTCCACAATGCTGATGCACACTTGAAATTAACACAAAACTCTATTTCAGGATGCTGCTTGCCAGGACCAATGATGCTTCTAAGAATTATGTCACAAAATTATACTTTCATTGGCAGCTCCACTTGGCTGCCAATGAGCACAGGGGTCATGGCAAGAGAAGAAATTAGCCCAGCGTCTTAATGTAATTGTCAAATTTGTGCACAGCATACAAAGCAGAGTATATGGGCCAACTATACTCCTGAATGAAAAAGTATTTGTTTAAACACCCAAGCCTTTTGCTGGTTATCATCTTTACCAAATCAATGTCTTTTTTTCATTGTGTGTACTAAAGTCAAACTGAACTTTCAGGATAATTCATTTGAAAAACCATTATCATACGTTTAAGGCCCCATACCACATTTCTGATTTCTAAATTCACGTGTGAAATATACAATTAATTTTTTCCACCATTTTAAATAGAAAATGCATGGAAATTATGAACTTAAATGGTAGCGTAAATAGGACATTATTATAAATCCCAGCATTTTAAAAATGGATAAAGAGGGACACTTCAATTTTAGGGATGTGAGTGGAGGTGTGATCAGATGTGGGACTGTTCTGAGAAATTTTAGGCGATCTACTAATAACAATTTTTGCAAATAAAATTTAATTCAGAAATAGGCCCATGTATCTTGTTTCCACAAACTGATTTCTAAACACATTTATTGTAATTTATAGATACATTACTGTGAGTATTATTGCTGTGGAGCTCTGTTATACACTCAGATGCACCAACAATATGGAGCTCTCATCAGATTGAGAAATTAGGGTAGAAAAGAGGGGCACAGCAATTTGGGCTCAAAATAGGAACTATCCCTTTAAAACAGGGACACTTGAGAGGTACGCATTACGAGTGTTATTTTGAAGTATATGTGTACAGTTTTATTTAAAACATTTAATAGCCCCACAGTTTGCTTTCCAGTGTGTCCCAGTATACTCAAAAACATCATCCCTCTTATTGTTCAATACGTGTTTTGTTTCCATGCACTGCGTGATTGTATATGAATATAGCTGTGTGGTAGTATCCATAGACCAACAGCATACAAGCATAGAATGGGTAAAAGAACATACAAGAGTGGTTTCATTGAAGTGAGCATAGGATGCAATCTTGTAATTTTCCCTGCTCTGTTAATGTCATTAGTATTGTCACTGTGTTGCACTGACGGCTAATTAAGAACAATGTTCCTTACATCAGATCATTTTTTAAATTGTGTTTTCTCGTAAATCTACATTAACTATAATGATTTTATTTGGTCTCTGCTGGTCTCATTTTCCTTGCTCATTAACTGTCTTCCTTCAGCGCCCCCACCCTCCTGAATACAGCTGACGTGAGCTCAATGTAATTAGTTTAATCTCTCTTTATTATTGTGCGTATTGTATTATATCCATCACAGTGACATGGGATTAATCGACTCTGTGAACCATAAATCCTTCTCTTAGTGTTACCCGGAGGTACGATGCGCACACTTGGTGTCTTGCATATGCCATTTTTCAGATTCACCTTGCATTGGGGGGAACTTATTCAATGTCCCATTGTTCCTTTCTGCTTGCTTTCGCTGACAAACCCCGTGTTCGAGAGTCTCCTCTGTCAGTGTCATATTGCAATTGTCATTACAGAAATTAGATCTTATAATTCTTTGTGTCAGTGTTACACATAGACATATGTACCACATAGAGACATTAAATCAAATAGTCACAATAGATATATCTTGCATTTTTCCCAATTTTCAATTTTTGTTCCTTTTTCTGCCTTAACACAGGTAAAATGCAGTAAGTATTGGCCTGATAGCACTGAAACATATGGAGATATTCGGATTAACTTGCTGAACACTGAGAGTCTGGCAGAGTATACAGTGAGGACACTTGCCTTGGAGAGGGTGAGAAATATTTGGATTATACATTTTTGTTGTGAGAGGTACCTATTGCAGCATTGTAGGGTAGCAATGGGTTGTAACACAGAAACTAGAAAAGATGTGAATTTATATAATTTGCCCATACCTGGTCTAAACTCCTTATTTGGTCTTATTTTTTGTTAAATTGATTACTTGAGAATCTGGAAGGTTAATTTGTGTAATGTAATAAGAATATGATGAAGAGTAATGTAAATATGTGCTGCTAAGATCTGGGACAATAGCTGTTACACATTAATGCTGTTTCTGATTTTGATCCCTTTATTATCACATTGGATCAGAATCTTGTCCTTAAAAACCCTTGCTAGCATCTATTGTCCTAGTTATGTTGCATTTGTTAAACATGTTAGATATTCCACTTTGATACAGAACATTGAAAGACTGGTTTATGATAACACATATTTATGTCAGGCATGTCAAACTCCAGCCCCCCTGATGTTGCTGAACTACAACTCAAATGATTGTGTAGCTGCCAGTTGCATTCGTGGAATTCTGGGAGTTGTAGGCCATCAACATCTGGAGAGCCAGAGTTTGAGATCCTTTAAAGATTTTTTTTCCAGTATGATAAGTTAATCATTACATATTTACTGAGTGTTATTTTGTGACACTAGTCATAAATAAATAATGTAATAACTTATACTTCAAAAGTTACTATGTATATCAAGGAGCTTTGGAAAAATCCCCTAGGAAACAGCTTGTAGGAGCAATTTTAACTTGCAGTCAGAATAACCCCAAACTACATGACATTGTGAAATGAGTTATGAAATATAATTATTTCAGGAAAAATGCTATTTATTTTATTTATTTTTTTTAAAAGGGACATGCATCATTTCAAGACAACCGTCTCATTCAAAAGCCTTAGTTTTGAATGTGACGCTTGCTTAATTCTGCAGGCTGCAAAACCAGGTAAATATGATTTATTGTGCTGCCCACATCCACTCCAGGGGAACACTGATCTAACCAATCAGGGTCTAATCCCTAGGAATACTGGAAAAGTGCATTGGGCATGCCTGACAGATTTACACCTGTTCAGTTGGAAGATCTCTTCCTTGCAACATCCTGACAGGGGAAACGAGCTGGAGTCTGATCAGTGTATTCATGCTGAACAGGCTCCAGTGGCAGTTTTTTCTGTCCTGCAGCTGCACAATGATGCCCTGTTTCTGTGATTAGTGGACTGGTCTGAAACTGAGATGGGTGGGTAAGAGTGGGGGGGATCGAGGCTGAAGAAAATCCCTTAGTTGCCCAATAATTCAATCTGACCAAGTTAACAGTAAGTTTATAAATGTTTATTACATACATTTCAAAGTTTTTATTGCTTTATTTTGGTTCATATATTTGTTTACAAATGTTTGCTTGCTGGTTTAAAAAAAAGGTATCAAATTGCAACGGGTTTGTCTTTGTGTTACAGTTGTGATTCCAAGAAACAATAATGGATGAATAAATTATTTTTCATTTTTTAAATTAAAATCCATTTCAAGTTATGCTGTCAGATAATAGGAAGAATATATTAACTGTGGATCTATAATATATAATATCCCTTTCATGCCTAGTAGAATCTGTTATTACTATGGTTGAGCATGTAAATACTATTTATTCCATTAGCTTCTCATGAGTAGCAAATTACCCACTAATTTCCCCATATTTCATCACAGTTGATTGGACAGCAAACAGTTGCATGTAGATGTGATTTACTTATTTTTTTAGCCTGACCTGTAATTTATATTTCCAAGGTTTTTTTTTCTTTTTGTTGGATCCATGTCTGATTATCATATTTAGGCATAGCTTTAATATTTTCTATATTTCTTTGTCCTTTACTTTTTTATTTATTACACAGGGCACAAATTAAGTAGTATATATTTCCATCTTTGTCTTTGTTAGTGGACTTCTGATCTCTGCACATATAATCTGTTAAACCTAGAAGTAAATGAGGAATGGAATTGTGGAGCTTGGACTAAGAAATTGCTAATTTTGAGGAAATAAAAAAGTTACTAAATTTGTAAATCACTAGACAGTTCTTCGATAATTTATAGAATATATAGGATGTGTTAGCTTGTGATAAACCAACACTCACAATCAACTTATACTGGTTTAGATGTACTTAATTGTGCCTCGTATACCAAGGGACTGCACAGCTTAATAATAATTTCAGGTATACATTTGTTTTTCAGCGGGGCTACACAGTAAGACATGAAGTAAAGCAATTCCACTTCCTGTCATGGCCAGAACATGGAGTACCATTCCATGCAACTGGGCTTCTGGCGTTCATCCGTAGAGTTAAGTCCTCTACTCCACCTGATGCAGGTCCTGTTGTGGTGCATTGCAGGTTAGTGGTGATATCACAGTGTTATTTTATTGGGCAGGGTAGAGATGGCTTCTAGTGGTTTCTTCACTGTGGGCTTTTTCTAAATCTTTCTCTGCTTGTTATCAGTGCTGGAGCAGGTAGAACAGGATGCTATATAGTCCTAGATGTAATGCTGGACATGGCGGAGTGTGAGGGAGTTGTGGACATCTACAACTGTGTAAAAACACTTTGCTCTCGACGAATTAACATGGTGCAAACACAGGTAAGCTGAATTGTGAAGCAATACATCGATGACCATATTGCTACCCTGTGGAATATTAATGATTATGAGAAGTGGTAGACATTGTTTTGATGTATAGATTTAGCTACAAAATCATTCTTTGTCTCCAGGAACAATATGTATTCATCCACGATGCAATACTGGAAGCATGTCTGTGTGGAGATACAGCTATTCCTGCTTGTGACTTTAGACAGACGTACAAGGAGATGTTGCAGATAGATACACAGAGCAACTCTACACACCTGAGAGATGAATTCCAGGTATTGCTGCTTCTTCACTTAGCTGTTCCCATGCTAACCAAACGTCTGCACGATCACTCACCTAATAACTACATCTATGTACTATATCTTCTTATATTGGTTCACTGTTATATTGATATATTATTCTATACCTAGAGATTGTTTCAAAACCTTATTCTTTATGCATCTTGTGCATGTAACTACTTTCTGAATTACTATCCTTACCGCTCCTATTCCTGCATTGTTGACTTTCTTTGTTAAAATTGATTTTTGCTTCTAGTGTTTTAAATTTTTAACTGTTTTCGTCTCTTTTTTTACCAAGACACTTAATTCAGTGACTGCCCAGCTCGGTGTAGAAGAGTGCAGTGTCGCTCTTTTACCCCACAACCGTGACAAGAACCGCAGTATGGATGTATTGCCTCCAGACCGTTCCCTGCCTTTACTGCTCTCTGCCCATGGCGAGGACACCAGCAATTACATCAATGCCGCTTTGACTGATGTATGTATGGTCTTATGATTTAGTTTTGCTATTGGTCTCTATGTTTAAGAACTTGATTTCAAGCCTCCACTGCTTGAGCTTGAGCAGTACCCAGGGAATACGTAGTACTTGCTGTGTTCTAGATTGGATCTTTGTAGACTCAAACTAATTCAGTCCTAAAGAATCTTTGATGCATGACTGATTCATAGCTGAAAATTACTATTTATTTCTCCACTTATGGAAATATTCTCGTGTGAGTTTGTTGTATCACTGTTTGTGATAGGTAGATGGATGGGTGGATGTATAAATAGATAGATAGATCCTTTAGATAAAGAAAATATAAGCATACATGGCCATTAAAGCTATTACCAAATATACTGAACTTAGAGCATTGTGTCCTGTTTCCACAGAGTTACACAAGGAGCTCACATGTGATTGTCACTTTGCATCCTCTGCAAAACACAATTACAGACTTCTGGAGATTGGTTTATGACTATGGTTGCACTAGTATTGTAATGCTAAACCAGCTCAACCAGTCCAACTCTGCATGGGTAAGTACTAATCATGAGTCTAAAGAAACACTTGTACCAATGATATATACATCAGTACTGCTGCAGAGAACATTTTAAGTCTGACACATTGCAATCCATTTTTTATCAGCCTGTGAATGTCTGTAGCCCTATCTTTATATGTGTTATATTTGTATATTACCCTAAGACACTTTATTGCAGTATTGTGTTTAGGTGCATTCAATGTACTTCTTTCTGCCATCACAACAAAGTAACATATCCTTCATTTTAAACCATTTCTGCTTACCAATTTTTATCAGTATTCTCCCTCATCATGTGCATGATTCATCTCCATTTCCTATTTTTTCTTCCAATCCTAGCCCTGCCTGCAGTACTGGCCAGACAGTGGGATTTCCCGTTATGGGCCAATGGAAGTGCAGTTTGTGTCTGGATCAGTAGATGAAGATGTAGTGACTCGCCTGTTTCGTGTACAAAATATCACTAGGGTAAGCAACTCTTCAGCATGCCACTGATACATTGTGACTTTTTAAATGCTGATAAAGACTTTTCTTTGCCCACCCTCCCCCTTTCCCCCCTCCAAAAAGTTTATTGTTTTATTTCCATATAATTTCTTCAAATTATTATTATTATTATTTTTTTAAACAAAGTGCTTTCTCTTTTTTTCTCATTACTCATACTGCTTGTCACTCCCAATTCCCTTTTTACTTTTCCATCACATCGCCTTCTTTTCATCTTGTAATAATTTTCTACTCTCCTGTAGGATGAACATCTTCTGGTCAAACATTTCCAGTACTTACGCTGGTCTCCATATAGAGATACTCCAGACACCAAGAGGTCATTTCTACAACTTTTGTCTTTGGTGGAGCAGTGGCAAGATCAAAATAGAGACCACAGAATGCTAGTACACTGCCTGTATGTATATGTGTGTTCTTGAATAGTCAAATTCATACTATGACATCATGCAAGTTCCCATACCGTGCCCCTAAGATGTATTAAGTAGAGAAAAGGGTACATCAGAGTCTTTTTACAGGGCTTCAGTAGACAATAGGATAACACTATCACACTTGTATACTGTATAAACAGATTACCACCACCACACTCTGTTACATTAGAAATGGGTAATTACCATATTCTCTAGACTTCATCAACATTTTTGTCACCTAGCATCATCACATTTTCAAGAAAAGCCTGACTACATTTTAGTAAATTCATTACATCATTTCACTCCCCCTAAATAGTTGGGATGCTCTCCAGCTGGACCAATCTTGGAACTATGGTGCCAAGACTTCTAAAGTCTTACACATTTTGCCTAGCATTTTATATACATTGTAAAGAACTGCTTTCCTGTTTCAAAATTTGGTTACTCCCATAAGGTATTGGCTGGCTCCTACATTTTACAAAGCTGTGTTAACCCCTAAACTCCATTAGGGAAATATTTTCATGTTGTGTTTTGCCTCCACAGGAATGGTGGTGGTCGGAGTGGAACATTTTGTGCCTGTGCAATGCTATGTGAGATGGTGCGATGTCACCAAATAGTGGATGTGTTCTATGCTGTGAAAAGTCTAAGGAATGTCAAACCAAATATGGTGGAGACACTGGTAAGTGATATCATGTTGTAACACAGGGGTGCCCAAAAGGTAGATCCCTAGATGTTGTAGAACTACATCCCTTGATGCTTTGCATACCTTTGTAATGCATTTAGAATGGCAAAGCATCATGCAAGCTGTAGTTTTAAAATATCTGGGATTGTACCTTTTGGAAACCCCTGATGTAAGACAAACGCAATCAGGACTACTGCCCCTTATAATTTGTCACAGCATTATGACTGAATATAGAATGTTGCTAATGATTCTTCTCCTTTCAAAGGATCAATACCGCTTCTGCTATGAAATTTCTCTTGAATATTTGGACTCCATCGACACCAGATAGCATTCAAAAATACTTCAGGTGACAATCCTGTATTCTGTGCCCAGCAAATATTGCTTAATTTCGACTGCCAAAAATAAAAGGGAGTTTAACCACCTTTCTTCTTGCAAATTCAAAAGGGCTTCTCTTTACTAATCCTTCTATGTACTACATAATTCCATACCTTGAAAGGTAGCATGCAACAAGATCTGTCAGTCTAGGGATTAAAATTGGAAGTCCTGCCAATATATGTGTGTACATATTTGTATCTGTACATATTTTAAATAAAGACTGAAAAGCTATGGTTCCCAGTATGCTATACTAGGAATAATTTATAGTAAGACACAGGAGATATGCAAACATGTGAACAAGGCCATTGCCAGTTTAATTGGTTCAGTAGGGTATGTGATGTAAGATCAATTGAGCTACATACAAAAGGATCTACTACGATATTGTGTGTCTCTCTCTCTGTAAAATCATATCAAATTGAGATATAGATCAATGTAGCATAATGCACAAACAGAATCAGAAAAGAACCCTGTTTTGTTTGATCCTACAACAGACACCACATTATACAATATGTTTGTCATTCTGATTATTATCTGTAAATAAGGGTATATTATGTATTAATCCCATAAGTAATGATGGGGTTTTTTAATGCTTTATTGTATCAAATAAAATGCCTGTTTTTCTTACCTGTGCATCACCGTGTCTTTCTATTACAACTTGGTTATAAATACACTGATACAGTGGTTGTTTATTAGGAGATCAGAGATGCCAAGCTCAGTATTAGGAATATGTGTGATCTGTGTGACCCGTTGCTAGTATAAGGGATGAGATATTTTCCTAGTGTATTAAAAGGATATTAGAACTCCCATTTTCCTGTGTTCAAGAATGTTAGAATACACCACAATTCATGTAGGCTCTAGATATGGTACATGAGTTGGAACATTGTAATATCTGCATAGAATATACAGTACATTTAAATGAAAATGATGAAAAGATCATCCTTGTTGAAACTTACTATAAGGCATATTGGAACCTGTTGTTAACTGATCTCTGAAATGACCATTCCATCAGTGTCCCTCATTGTGGAAGCCTGTGGTAAGAGTAACATCAGAGTTAGAAGGTAAGCAGTTCATACAGAAGCATTTTCTTATTGGAGTTGCAGCAACATGAATTAAAAAATAAAGATAGTATTGATCAGACACTGGTCCATGTCACCAGGGGAAGGGAATAAATTCTACAACATGACAGTATTGCTAAATGAATAAACAATATTTATGTATTACGAGTGATCAAAAAACGATTCTTTCTATATTATCTCGTTGGAATTCTGATATTCTTGATTTTCATTTGCCAGTGTTCATTACCCGAAAAAAAAGCATCTCCCCAGATAATATATTCTTCTGGGTTTTGTTTAAATGTCATGTTTCTCAATGCTAATTTGGGTTGATGTCTCACTGATGAATCCCACATCTTTCAGCTGGCAGATGTAATCCTTCTAGGAAAAGTCAATACTGTAATAAAACAACAGTAATGTTTGTTTTTTAATATAGTTATAGTAATATCACACACTTCAGAGTATGAACATGTTTGAAACTGTGCTTCTAAAGGCATAAAAAAAATAAAAATCATATGTTTTCATTTGCACCATCCATGGAAGTAAGTAACAGGTATCCCAGAAAGCACCATCCATGGAAGTAGGCAAGAGGTGCTCCAGAAAGCATTGACATTTCCTGGTTATCAAGCAAACTTTTATTTGGCATATACATAATTTGGATTATAATATACTAACAGAAGTAAAAAGAGAAATAAAGCAAGCTATACTGGCATGTCTGAATGGAGAACAGATGTCATACTCATAGATGAAGATGGCTAGCTAATATCAGAGATGAAAAGAGAACATTTTCATAATACAGGATCATAATATTTTGAGAACAAGCTAAAAAGGCAGATCTAGATTTTATTGAGAGTATTGGCTTGGTATCACTTCAGACTTCCCAGACATAGAGTTTTAAGATCACTGGGTGTCTAGGACAACAGATAGGTACACCACTTAAACTGAAACAAATATTAATTAACACGACAAAACTGGAACTAGATACTGTGGTAGATAGTGCTATTTAAGATATTCACTATAGTACATTTGCTAGGGTATGAAACAAGCTTAGTACATTTGCTAAGGTATGGAACAAGCTTATAAGAAAACCGCTAGAACCGGCATCATCTCATGCTAAGATTAAGAGAGAGGATATAATTGAAGAGTAAACTGGAGAGACGTAATAAAATGGTGGCTAGTTGAGCCGCAAGTTTCTAGTGTCCAAACATTAGGACATAATTTGTCAGTGCTCAGGCATTCAACCGACTGCTATTGCCAGCAGACTCAAATTAGTATAGGAAAGTCCATGGGGTGTCTGACGGACTACCTGATGCTCCTAGTGCTCACAAGCACTCCACCAGACACCATCAGCACCGTAGACCCCACAAACCACCGCAGCTTGGTTGGAGCCTCGCTGTCCTCCACCCACCCTGGACCCAAGACCAGGATCCAGTGGGTGAACCTCTCCTACTCCAGAGAGTATAGCAGGAACAGCTCTTATAAGAGGTAATAATTAGAACCCAGGGGAGTATAAGTAATCCCCAGAGTGAATATAGTTGTCCCCTCCACACATGAGACGAGACTCTATGTTGAGGGTGAAGAGGAATTGATTTTAATGGTGCCACACTTGGCCTTATATGACAATCCCCATGCAAGGGGTACGCCCACATGAACCTGATGGTAGACTGATTTAGAACGTCATAGACCAATAACAATAAGGTCACAAGGCACGACACTCCCACACACAGCACACAATCCCTCCCCTCTGCCTGGGAGATGATTGAGTCAGATAGTGTATTAATTATCTTCAGGCAGAAAAAAAACACATATTTCTATAAAAACCCCAAAAGTACCCCAAAAACACATTACAAAAAAAAAAGTACCCCAAAAACACATTACATCCCGTGATCTGGGTGACTAACATATCCAAAAATCACCCAGATCAGTTCAGGGGTTCAGGAATTCGATATTAGTCACATTTTGACCGACTGCAGGCATTGTCCCATGCTCAAAACAGTTCCAGAGACTCAGGGCTTGCGGTCGGTCTAGTTCGGTAGTTTGAAAATGAACAAACTACCGAACAGAGTCAATAGTCTTACCCTTAGCTTGTTCCCTTCATCCAGATGAATGATTTCACCGAACAGTGATGGTAATCCAGCGGTGTTCGGGAGTTTCTGTGTCCGATTTTAGTTCCATGAGATTCATGCCCAAACACCGCTGAATGCGTTCATGTGAACAAGATAGCTGCCACCTCGTGGTTGTCCATAGGACTTGCGGCCACCCAGACGAACAATTAGAACACTGCGGTGAGAAACGTTCAAAGTTGTTAATAGGTGTTAACAAGCTCCAGGGTGGTCTCTGGTTTGTGCGGTTGTTCGGGAGTTCGAAGTGCCGATTCAAACCACTTCGGGAGTTCGAAGTGTAGCCATACAAGTCCAAAAAGGAACAAACAGTGGTTTCAACCAGGGTTTAACACAGGGGCCATAGTCACAGGGTAGGAGGGTGGCAAACAGGCACCTTCAAAACCAGTGGCGAGGTTATGTTTGCCACAGGGTGAATTAGCTGTGCCAGGGAGTGGTATCCATCAAGCCCTGGGCTTTTCAAAAGGCCAACACCTCAGATTCAGATTGAACTTTATTGTCATTGTATCATGAACAAACAAGGGCAATGAAACACAGTTGGCCTTTGAACAGATATACAGCAGTAATTTAAAATACTATTTTAAATAAGATGTGTACTCTTTATAGTAATACTTTACAGTAATACTTGATACCACAGTTCCCTGATACTGAAGAATACAATCCTACTACATTGTTACCAATTTCAAGCCTAAATGAAAACTGCACACCTCTCACACACTGTGAGGGGATGCTGCCTGGAAAATAGAAACAATATCTTATTATGAATAACACATTAGTCTATAACGTTATACACACATTGGGACATAACTTCAAGCCTTATAAGGCTTCTCCTATGCCTGGATCTAAATTATAAATTAGAGGAGGGCAAATATAAAGTGGTAGACATTAGAATTGACATACCATAAAAATAGTATAAGTGTGTGTATCTATAGGCTTTCTTAAAATTTGCCAGTTACCACACTGACATAAATCTCACCTTTGGAAATACTGTAAAAAAATGGGAGAGAGGACAGAAATATACCAGCATCAATTCCTGAAAAGATTACAGAATTTAGAGTAGTATATACTGGAAAATTAGAGTATGTAGACAAAGCCTCTCTCCCTTGGAATCAAACTAGACAGGCGTAGGAGGATAAAGGAAAAAATAAAATGTAAGTCTATAAAATCATAATTCCAGCAGAGTAAATCATTCAACTCCTTCAACCAAAGTGTAACAACATAGTGAGGTGAACTGCCTAAAAGAAATTATAAAAATAACCACCCCATAGCAAAAACAACCCGACGTGCGTTTCAGTGCAAATACGGTGCACCTTCTTCAGGGCTCCAGGGAACTGGAAGTAGTCTTGTTTATATAGGAATGTCTTAGGTGGAAACAATCAATCTGGACCGGAGTGATACATGTCACTCAGATCATAGCCATAGGGAAACCCACGTCATCCTAATAAGTATCATCCACAAGCTTGTTATCCAATCATGAGTCGAAAAGGATAACCAGGAAAATCATGAATGGGTGAGATCATATTTATGTGTGGGAGTGAATGAAAAAAAAACTCCCACAACAAAAATAATACCACGAACACCCTCCTGTGATTTCCAAGACTTATCAGGCTTCATAATACATAGGGGTAATATAACCCCAAAAGGTCCAATACTACAGTAATTATATAATATATGTGATCTCAAAACAAAATCATGCAGAGCTCATGTCAGAATTCCTATTAGAGAATAAATACATTTATATGAAAATAAAAATAATTAAATAATTAGGAAAATAACAAAAAATGTATAACTTAATAATAAAGGTAAACAAATATAAAATTTGCAGATAATATATACGAAATCATTACACCTATTGGCAAGACAACCCAATATCCTCAAGTCCCATGGGGGAATGACAATCGTCTAAGTAAATTGTAACATGAAATTAGCAATGACCCAATCTGGGTCACCTGAAATATATAGGGGATACTTATAGTCCTGATCCCCTAGGTAAGTACCCCTGATGAGCAAATTAATAAATGGAAAACTAGAGGGTAGGAAAGTCCAAAATTACCTTTACTGTGTGTATAAAAGGCCATATGTTCCACTGCAGAGGTAATAAGTGTTAATCTGGCGCCGTCCCCATTATACAAGTAAGCCAATCGGCTCCTTTTGGGAGCGTGCCTTTCCATTTTGTGAATGAAAGACCTCACTGCAATAGTATATGTGAGACTCTCACAAAGAGTCAGTACTGCACAAAATTGTAACCTCTAATTCAATGTGATATAATTAATATGGACTAACAAACAATATCATATATAATCAAAAATAGTAATAAAATAAAAAACAAGTAGTAATAATACCATAACAAACTGATCTTATCATCTCACAGATATAGTTTTGAGTTCATATTAGACAACACTGTAGCAGCACAAACCATAATATATGGGACATGCCCACTCTATACAAGACA